CCATCCCTCGTTGAGCTGCGAGTGTGGCTACAAACGGAGTTCACTCCGTCACGGAGGGGTAGGGTTGAGGGAGTGGTTTGGGATTGGGCCATAGTCTTTGTTTACATTAGCAAGCATCGCTAACACTCAGAGCTAACCTGTACTGGGGCAACCCAGTCTCACGGCATTTCGTGTTCACCAACACGATTTTTAATCTATTGATTCATGTTGACCAACACGATTTCCCCCTTTTTTTCGTGTTGCACAGCACGATTTTAAAAGCAATGTATTTCTACTGGTAATGACGCTCTTGGAAGCACGGCATTCGTTTGTGTCGGCTGCCCTTAAAGGCAATGTGAGCGTCCATTCTCATTGGATAACGGAGAATTGTACACCCGGAAGTAAGTATTCCCCTTACTGTCGATTGATTTTACAGTGATATCTGCACTACTCATCCACTAAAAAATACCAGATTATCCTTGTTAATTACACAACATTGATTGGTTTAAATTGTGTGCAATGCTTTTGTATTTTTCCCCCTCGATTCGGAGAAACAAATATTTTTTCGGAGTAAAGGATGGCAGAAAACACTACACTACCCAGAATCCCCAGCTATCGTTTGGACTACACCATGTGCTACACATTTTGTTACCCCCATCATTACACCTGGGTAAAACAGAGTCCATTCTCTTCGGTTCGAAACATAATCTCAGCAAATCCGACGACTTCTCAGTTGCAGTGGGCGACATTATTGTCACAAGTAAGAAGGAAATTACATACCTAGGATCTATTCTTGAGGCAAACCTCTCCTGTGACAAAATGGCATCCAATGTAATAAAAAAAGTCAATCAAAGAACTAGATTCCTATACCGGATCTCCTCTCTGGTAAACAAAAACACCCTGAAAACTCTGGCAGGAGCACTCATTCAAGGGTACTATGACTATGCTTGCACGTCATGGTACCATAGCACCTCCAAGGCGCTAAAAATAAAACTTCAAACATCGCAAAATAAACTGGTCAGACTACTGCTTGACCTTTCATCTAGAACCCACCTCACCTCTGCCCACTTTGACAACCTAGGATGGCTTAGAGTAGACGACAGAGTACAGCTACTTGCAATGGGCCTGGTCTACAAGATCCACTACACCTCTATGGTACCCATGTACATGTCAAAATTCTTCCCAAAGGTCAAGGAATACCATGATCATAACACCAGAGGGAGCTCCACAAATCATGTGAAACCCAGATTTGGCACAAAAAAGGGGGAATACACGTTTCGCAATTATGCCACATCAAGGTGGAACGCTCTTCCCACTAAAGGAAAGTAAAACTATACTTACCTTCAAAACCTCTCTTAAAGAGCACCTTCGGGGGAGAGCATTGCAAAACTGGCCCCGGTAATGGTACAAATCTCAACCTGTCGTTCAATGGACAGCTTCCCCCCCCCATCTATGTATATACTCGCATTTTAGACTCTGTTACTAACTGTATATCTGTAGACTTGGTATGTCTTAAATGTCCGGTTAGGATGTATTAGAACAAAATCTAAAATGAAAATTGTAAATAAGCAATCTGTATGTAAAAAACCACCTGTATGTAAATTGTAAATAAGCCATCTGTATGTAAAATATGTCTTATATGTCTTAAATGACATGATGAATTGGAAATGGGGGACCCTGATGTAAACAAGACGAAAGTCTTTCTCTGGTCTGCATCCCCTTAACAATTGTATGTTTTGAGCTGTACTGTACTGTACCCAATATACAAGCTGTTAATAAACCTTTCAATCAATCAATCAATCAATCAATTGGTGAACACGAAATGCCATGAGACTGGTTTGACTGGGGAGAGTATGTGTAAAAAAGCAGGAAATAAAAAAAGGAACTCACCTTGTGATAAACCTGCAAGAGAAAAAGCATTTGAGCTCCATACTGTTTCAGAAATAATGCTTGATGTGGTTTGGAACATGATATGGCGTATAATCACGGCAGCATTTAGCTGTGTCTCGTATAATTCTGAGCAGGCATTAGCTCCCCCTCCTCTTTTTTTTTTTCAAGCTAAGGACCCCGAACCTTCAGTTTTCTAGCAGGGCTGAAACAGAGGGATGAGGGATGTCTAAAATGCATGATATTTTTGGTATTTTGAGCAAAACACATCATAGACATGTTTTTATATATTTGTATATATCTGAGACCATTAATATATGCCTAAAAATAGCATAATAGGAGACATTTAAAATCCACATGTAGCAGCGTCTAATATTTATTTTGCCTGCCTTGCTAAACATGTGACAGCAGAGAGAATGTGATCATTGTTTCACAGTAGAGTCCATTATACCATAACAACCTGCCTAATCAGACCAATAACATTGCTGTACACACGTTCCAGAATAAGTGTTACGCCAATTATTGGGCTCATTGGAACATTATGGCTGTGCTTGCATAGATAGATAATAAAACTGGAAAGAAAATATTGTAACCATCTCCAGCTGTTGGCCTTATTCACAATTAAATTGCCTTTGTTACCGTATTTCACGAACAGTCCATCTACTGTTTTAATCCCGTCTCTAAGTCTATTTTTCCTTTGGAAATGGATCTATGTTTTTCTGTCTTTTGGTTATCTGATAGGAAACTAAAAAGATATGATAAACAGCTTTAACAAATAAAAGGTTTCCCATGACTCAATATTTTAGCTGCATTGTTATTTAAAGTGTAACACGACACAATTATAACACCTTTAATATCACATTTCAACTGTAAGAACACCACATAGTGTTGTTATAGTATATGTTATAGTAAGATGTAAAGTGTTTTCCCTTTTTTTCTTCAATGTTGTTATTTATGGAGCAAGCCTGGAAGCTAGTTCAACTTGGGCCATAATGACTTATATACTCGTGACATGCCTTATTCCCTCATACAACCAACCAAACACATTCTCCGTAGTCTGGCGCTCTATTCAAGCTGCAAGATTTGCTATCTCTGCGACGATACTGCTTTTCCGCCCCACAATCCCCCCAGCATCCACCTGTAGGCTGTGGGGGAGTTATTTAGAGTCATTCAAAGATTCAAAATTCAAAGGTTTTATTGTCATATGCACAAAGCTACAGTGTAGAAATGGCAATTACATTATTCTGACCTGAGCTCCTCCAACAATGCAACATATATAGTAAAATACAAAAATACAAAATCATTACACCGAGTGGTGAGGCCAGAGCCTAAACACCAAACGATATGCTGTTGTTAATAAACATTTTAAACTTGAGTTGTCTAACTGAAATGGATTTCTTGACTGGATTCACTTTGAATATAATTGTATTATTATTTTCATCCATTGATGTCTAAAGTTGTGGTAGAAGTTGTCCCCAGATGGGATATGAAATAACATCCCAAAACAACAATACAATACTAAGCTTAGTTACCACCTTGCTAGCTACCCGCCATACCTCATCGGATTAAACTTGACAGTCTGAGAAGGGGTCTAAGACTTCTCCGCCCTGCCCTTTGTACAAACGATGTAGTGCTTGTTGGGTGGTGAAATTGAAAGAGTAGCATCTACAAAAGAATTCCACTGGCTTAACATAGTTTGGGTTTTTCCTGGCCTTGTGGGTTTGGTAGGATCCAGGTTGTGTTTGCTCCCCTTTGTGTTTCAGGTTCAGAGGCTGAAGCTGGTTCATATCTACTAATAACTTTCTTTAAAATGTAACTTCAGCATAAAGGCTCCGTGGTCAATATTGTATGTGACAAAAACTTCTGGTTCTTCACTGTTGAGATTTTAAAAGATGTGCTCTAAATTGCCAAATGGAAATATCATTAAATATAGTGTTACAAAACATTACAAAACAATGTATGCACACTTGCTATGTGTCTGTACTTTCAATAGGAGCATTTGTAAAGAGCCTCTGTGTCTATTTTTAAATGCGGACCTCACAGTAACCCTCCCAAATAGATTTGTATCAGATTTTTGTGGTTCCCAATGAAAGTATTTCCATCTCTGTGTACACAGTATGTGTTTACAGCCATGCTGCATATTGCATACATGCATTGACTTCAGACAGCATAAAGGCTCCCTGGTCAGTATCGTACTCTATGTGACAACAATTTCTCTATTTAAAATTCTGGACTGAGTATTACATTAAGACATTTTGCGTCTCTTATATGCCCTTACTTTTTATGGAAAGTCGTTTTTCGGATTTACTCAATTTGGATCGGTCCAAATGGCAAATTTCAGATTTCATTCTCATCTTAAAGTGAAAACTGACAAAATAAGTCAAAGTAGCTGTATGTTTTGACATGTTATATGTAGGGTTTTGTTGATGTGCAGTGTACATTTAGGTCACAGCTGGAATCAGAAAATATTTTTGTTTCAATATGCTGCCAGATATTATTTCCATTAAAGGCCTAATCTGGAACACGTTGAAACACTGAAACGCTGAAACACAGAAAATGCTGAAACACTTCCTATTTTCAAATCCAGACTAAAAACATATCTATTTGCCGCTGCTTTTAATTGAGCTGTTCATACTCACACTGCAGTATGCCTTTTATTCATGTATTCTGTACCTGCTGTGTTTATTTATTTGATTATCTTCGCTTTTTCTATGCCTGTTTTTAAATGCCATTTAATAATGTGTTTATGCTGTATTTATTCTTAAATGTCTTTTGTTTTTATTTTGTAAAGCACTTTGAATTGTCGCGTGCTGAAAGGTGCTATATAAATAAAATTGCCTTGCCTTGCCTTACTCAGAACCATCGTTTTAATTATGTCAAAACAGAACGTGTTTCAGTTTATTTCCATAGACTAAATAGTTTTTCCGGGATATTGTTTCTTCAAGAGTAGCTTATGTGTGCCGCAACCGAGCATGCGTGCAGCAGAGGGTCATGAACAATAGCTGAGCTAACAAAGGCACAAAGAATGGACATTGAAGGTCTGTGTGCCAGTCCTACAGCTGAATAACAAAGGAAGAGAGAGTGGAAAGCTCTTAGTCAGCAGCAAAACTAAACAGACAAGAGGAAACACATGGTGTGTGTACAAGGAATTATTTATTATCATAGTGTGAATACTTCAGACTTCTTTATAGATAGTTGTCACTCACGTTCAACAGGACATTGGTATTGTACACAGTATTTCTGTAAACATAGTCCAGGAAAGCCAGTGTGTATTCAACCACATTCAGTGACAAAGTAGCCCGGGGTTACGCTGAAGAATATTTCTTCTAAATAGTTCATCTTTAGCTATACATCAAACACCATGTTATGACTGTGGACAGATACGCTTAAAATACTTTACATTCACGTTTTGTTATAAACAATTTGATAAATATAAGATTATACATAACAAAAGAATATATTTTGTATATCTTCTTATATATTCCACATATATTTGATTTTTTTTTCTTTGTGGCTTTATTCCTTTCAGTCAGGGTCTCTTATGATTCATGGCTCGAATTCAACTTCATTCCAATAAATAAAAAAACATTCTGAAAGGAACATAATGGCACTTTTTTGGTGGTGAAAAAGTGTAATATCAGAAAATACGTTTCAAATGAATAAGAGATGTTATAATGCACTTGATCTAATATACAGTGCATTCAAAGAGGAATTGTTATTCCTTTGTGTACTGTTCACTAAAAGTATACTGTATGGTCGGAAACAAAATCCCAACAAACACACAGTATCTTTCTCTCACTCTTTCTCGCTGTGTTTCTTCGGAGCAAAAGCCACAAATACTCTTCAGAAGCGCTGAACATTTAAAACATTTAAAAAAGTAAAAGTCACACAACAATAAAAAAAATTGTAACAGTTACGCCATTTGTTTTGCTGATTTTCTTCCCCTTCAGTTAGCAGCCAGGCTACCCAGTTCAGCCTTAGTCACTTCTTTGAGATTAACTGGTTATGTGTGTTTAGCCTTTCAAATAACTGACAATAAAAAATCTATGCTAAGGAGCTTCAACTTCATGCACTGTTGACACCCAGCTCTTCAGTAGATATCAAAGGACTGGGTCAAATCAATAGAGCCATTCAAAAACTACACAACTTGACTTTTTTCCTGTATGGACTGAAAGAAACATGGAGTGTCTCGCTTGATAAGGCACTGACACAGATAAGCCACTCTGCCAGGAGAATGGCAAGAACAGAGACTCTCTTCAAACTAAAAGTAATCATAAATAATGAAAGAAAACAACATTTGGGTTACCTGTATTATAATTCACAGGATATTGTGATGGTTTTGGTTTTAAATTTGACTTTCTGTCCCTTCCAGGAGATGATACTCACATCACATATATGTCCAGTTATGATTCATTAAAAGAATATTAAAACGATAGGCCTATAACAGTACATTGTCCCCCTGGGGTGCCCTTCTCTTATACTCTGAAGGGGTTGAATGGTAAAAAGCCTAACTCTGAAAACAAAGGGCGTGAAGCTACTGTTTACAACTAATTCCTTGGGTGGTGTAGGGAGAAGAGGCAGGCTGCTGAGAGAGGATGGAGCCTGGTGCTTTTCTTGTCTGTCCGACCACTGGTGGCACACAGGAACTCCAAACACCAAATGTGAGGATGGATGAGGGAATTCTGGGTATTTGTCATCAGATGGCCAACCAATGCTTGAGCTGCGAAACAGAAGACAGTTTTGGGTCAGTTTTGCAACTCGTGTAAAATATATTCTATTTATTATATTCAAATTATTCTATCGTTTACTTCTTCTTTTTTTCCTACTTACTGAGGCCTCTTGTGTTTTCAAGTTTTCAAGGCTTTTATTGTCATGTGTGCATAGCTACGGTGTAGATATGACAATGCACATCTTAGGTGACAGGCCCCTCCAACACAATAACAGATAAATAGTACAAGTATAATGCTTATAATGTCAATTAGTATAATATTAGTATTATCCCCATTAGTTTTTTTAAAAGGCCTACACCCTAGGTGTCATCTCTGTTAATTGTGATGCATTCTAAGTCAACACATAAAGCACTTCACAAACAACTCCATGTGTCCATATCCAGATTAATTGTAGCCATTAAACCAGTTCAAATTAACACCCTTAATGAAAAGCACAAACATTTGCCCTTACTGTGAACTGCCGTATATTTCCCTCAGCGACCAAATGGTGTTCATGCTCTGGAGTGATGCAATAAGCTATTCTCTGCAACAAAAAAAGCAAATAGGACACATTATTTTCCAACATTTTCATAAATACATACATACAAGACACTCTTTAATTATTATACATTCTTGTATCTTGTATTTATTTCTTATTTGATCCTTAAGTCTTGCTTTCTAAGTGACTTTACACTTTGGCATGTTGTTAGAGGAGACACGTACTAGATGAGATACAAGAGGTAATGCAATTGAATGTAACATCTGGCTATAATAACAGTCATTATGGGCTTGATCTCTGAAAGAAATATTCAATTACATTTTGAAAGCTGTGAGGGATTATGGGATCCGTATTAAGAACTTCAGAGATGTTTATTCTGGTTAATATGAGAAGCAGACAGACACCACTTGATAGGTGTTGACAGGAGTTTTCGGCAAGAATGTGTATCCTGAGAACCTGAGACGAATCTTAAATCCTGAGTTCCAACGGGAAATGCCAACGGGATGTGAGGATTGTAAAAGTAGAGTGAAGCAGACACTGTTTGTCTCCTGAAGGATGAAAGTATCTCTCGGGTGCTTTGATGATTGCGATCATAAACTCTCAATGCTTTGAAGCGATCACTTCATCTGAAACTGTTCTCACGGTGTCATCGAGTCGAGAGAGGAAAGTTATCTCCTTAATCAGAAGGTTTTGTCCAGGTTTTATTGCACAGAAGAACATACAGTGCGTCCTTTAGTTGCAAGCCTATTTATTGCCAGTACACTGTGTTTTATTCTACTTTATTTATACCGTACACAATGTTCCGATAAGGGTCATTGTGTGCCTCCACTGTTCATCCTGGCAATCATTTCAGTCTTTTTGTTTAACCCTGTGTGACGAACATGTTACTCACCTGTTTGAATGTTCCAGATACGCTGAGGAATTTATAAATGGCATAACAGGGGACAAACATCATGGAGGACATGGCCACACCCCAGCCAACTACGTTAGACCAGTAAGGGAAGACGTAGTCGTCATACTTCAGGCCTGACGAGGTCACTGCACTGGCTATTACAACAAACTGTGAAGAGAGAAGAGAGAAGGGGGGAAAGGAAAAGATACATAGGAGAAGGTTACATCTAATCTTCTATTATTGTCCTAATGTGCAATGTCTCTTCATTAAAGGGACAGCGTGTGATGCTTCAAGTGACTTGTTTTGAGGTACAAATTATTGTCACTGTATAGCCTACAGCAGATTGAGGTCGACACACCCTTTTTTAAGTACTCACGGACGGTGAGTATGGTGGATATCAATATCATTTTGAATGCCTTAATGTGCCATGAGACAAGTTGTTATCTTTATGTGCTTCAAAGCCACCAGACTCCTATGACAAAAACACAAATTTGACCTTGCTTGTCTATTTATGCCTCGATCAGTCAATCAGTTTGTGTTGGATTGGATTCACGAATAATCGTATTATAGCACAAAAACACTGACCAATCAAGGCAGCGGTAGACCAGCAACTATACTGTAATTTAAGAAGTAAAATGTAAGTTTTTTTCAATGGAGTATGGTGGCTTTAGTGAGTACATAGGTAGTCTCATTGCAATGTAAAGTGGTGAAAGTATCCCCACTGTATTACAATACAGTGTACACATAGATTTTATTTGATAGACCCTTCTTTCAGGTGGCTACAATATGTTTTTTGTGGACGGGTAGTACCTCATACAACCCCTCTTCAAGCAATCCAAACTATGCCTTTCATTTGATTGCAGCAAATCCATTGATGCTGCGAGATGAAGTAGAACATCATTTGTTGTGTGTCTCTTATGTTAAAGTACAATGGCTTACGGTAAAAATGTTCTCTTAACAGAGAGGACACATGTCATTGTCGTGCTCCATTAAGTTGGCAATTTCAAAAAGGTAAATGTTCTCATTTCGAGTACAAAAGCATGTTCAATGGGGCAGTACTAAATATATCTGTAAATAATGGATTTTTTTTTGTTACTATTGTCCTTTTTTTCTCACAATGAGGAATGACCAATTCTCCTGAATTACATCATTTGTTACTACACACTTCCACAGTTGTGCAGAGGAGGGTGTAGACAGCCATCTGTATTGAAGGAAGCACATGACTGTGTCCACCCCCGCTCCCCTGGACAGGACACAACCACGTGCTTCCTCTAATGCACGTTGAGTTTATTTCACCTGCAAGTGAAGGACTCGCCAGGAGGAGCACTGTCCATTGTTGCACCCTGTGGTCAAGCTTTCCCCCCCCCAACCTATTACAGTACGCTATTGATTCTTATAAGTGTTTACATTTTGATTCCTTTGGTAAATTAGGGCATCACAAACCATATGTATTGGATGCAGGAGTGCTGTTGTGTCATTTATGTCATTCATTATTCATCTGAATTTGTCTTTGGTCTAGGATCAAACAGTATGAAACAGCCACATGAAAAAACTCTACTGTTTTTATTCGCTCACCAGCAGAAAAGCTGGGCTGACAAACTTCCAGCACAGCCTCCAGTAAAGACCTGGCTTGAAGCCCATCATCCGCTCAATATCTTCACTGAAGCGGTCCACACCTGGAGTAAACATGAAAGGTTACGGAGTAAAGGTTAATGTGGTGAGTAAAGTAAAAACATTCAATCAATGTAGGAGCAGCAGGCTCTTAGTGCAAAGTTTGCAATCTCACTGGACAGAATGAGGCAACACAACACAACACACAATGTCTATACAGTACTATTGTTATCCTGGTTCGACAAGCATTTCTGGTTTATTGTTCTGCCCTAGTTTCACAATTTTACATTATTTTTCCATATTTACTTTGTGTATTTTACCTCGGTATATCTAAGTGTCTACAGATGGCAACGAGATGGACTACGCCTGATAGGTTAGATACTGTTTGCCGGCTGATGTGTGTCTTTACAGATACAATCTCATGACTTGTGCTTTGTTTTATGCCATAGGGGATTTATTTCATTATTGTGTCTTATGGTAATTAGTTATATATGTATAAATGTAATTATAAAGTTGCCATTCTCTAAGATTGATCGAGGACTTGTTTAATCTTCTGGAAAAGGTACACTAAGTAAATTGTGGAACTCTGAGACATAATTTTCTGATAACATTTCAGCCTTTTTAGGGTTCACAATTGTTGCTTTGCTGAACCTAAAAACAGATATCTACTAACTTGACCTTCTGCCTCTTTTTTTCACGTAAAATCATTTTTTCCATGTACATTTTCCTGTCATTTTACAAGTTTCACTTTGTTAGATTATGGCAAGACACTGAGCGAATGGGTTAGTGGATAAGACGTTTCAGTTTTTTCTTGCTTATTCTATTGTCATTTTGTAAAAGTGAGCTGTGCTGCTAATGTCATTTTCTAATGGAATAAAAATACATAATTTAAATGGAGAAATCGTGGGGTAAAAAAGTACTGTAGAGTTTCATACCGTAAAACCATGACACTCCAATGGCCTCGATCAGAACAGCAAACAGTATAGAGGTCCCCGCTGCATACTTATCTAACAGGGTCAGCACGTAGATCCCACCCTACAGAGGAAGAAAGAGGAAGAGAAAGTTAAGTGTGTGTGTGTGTGTGTGTGTGTGTGTGTGTGTGTGTGTGTGTGTGTGTGTGTGTGTGTGTGTGTGTGTGTGTGTGTGTGTGTGTGTGTGTGTACATCTTCCTCTTTGAAGAGAAGTACACCCTTGTGTGCATCAATGACCTCTCAGACTTAAAACTGTATAAGCTTGTTTTTCCGTTGGAGGCGACTTAACGTGCACTTTGAAGAGTCGACATGTGAGCGAAGAAAAGCCTCACCTTGATGGAGATGGGATTTCATGTGCATCAGAGCTTATGTACAATAAATCCTTGATGTGTATTCAGGGTGGAACAATGGATATCTTGTGCCGTGGAACTATTGGAAAGGCATCATTCACTACAAATAATTTTCTTCATTTGTAAAGACAAGAAACCATGTGAATCAGTAACATAAAAGCTTTCTGTCTCGATGTCTGTTTTTTCTGGTATTGATAAGCGTTTCTTCTTAGGTCTGATGCCATTTGAATGAAAGGGAAATTAAAATGTCCTCCAGGATACAGCTTCAATTGAATTGTAATTAGTCATCTTGTCTCATGCAATAGTATTTAGGATCTTTCCATTGAAAGAGTTCTGTGATATTTTACTGAAACTTTCCTGTGACGACATCAAATCATCGGACATGAAAACTTTCTCACGGGAAACAGAGACTTGACGTTTAAAGCTCTCAATTACCACCCTTCAGACTCCACAGACCAATATTACTTAGGTATACCACCCAACTGAAGTTGTTTAAAACAAATATTTTTACAGTGTCATAGTGCAGCATTAGAAGTCATTTTTTTTAAATCCCTTTCCATTGGGATTAGCCTTAGATTGTGAACACAGACAAAAATATGTGTTGTTGTCTGTTTTTGTTCTGTGGTTTTTGCTGTGTTTTTTCTTCAGCTTAGTTCTTAGTACTATATCATCTTATGACTGTTGAAAATAAAAATATGGAACATAAAAATGTATTTGTGCATGGTTGGAAGGATTGCCAATCCTGCATTTGAAAGAAAAAGTAAGCTGCAGGGATTTGGTTTAATGCGGGGTTATGACAAGTACTTCCTAAGTATTGAGTGTGAATGTCTCTTTGAAATCTGATACTTACATTGGTGATGCAGAGGAGAGCAACCAGGAACGTTCCAAAGGCCGTGGCGAAGGTGAAGACCTTTCTGTTCCTCTTGAGGAACTTAAAGTCGTCCGACAGGCCTGTGATCACCGCCTCCATGCCGCCCATCTGGTGGACACAAAAAGAGAGGGACATAAAAAACAGAATACAAATATTGCACCATTGAAAGTGTTTTAAAATGGAAACCTTTCCTTGACTTTGACTTGAGGATTTCAGTCAATTGTGCCTTCTTGATATTAAACATAACAAAAACAGAACTGATCATTTTGTAAGAACTGCACAAGTCTGCTTTAGTATGCTGTTATACTACTCTAATGTTTTATGTCATATATCCATGGGAAATGTTTATTCTTTACAGTGGTATGTTGCAATATCCAAACAAACTTACTTTTAATTGGGCAATTCTGTAATTACAATATCCTATACTTTAGACAAAATTGAATACAATAAAACGTCATAACCAACCAGGGCTGGAAATGTGTCTTTATTCCTTTACTTTAGCAAAATGATGACGTAAAGGCAAAGGCACAGACCTGTTACAATAAAATAAAAAACGTTCACAGTCAATTTCAGTTTGTAATACTGACCTGCTCCTTATCTGATCTAGTGATTAATGATCGAGACGATAAGTTAATTGCTTAGAGACATTCACCGACAGATAACAGGAGATTAAAGCCTCCCTTTGATTCAGCGCCTTGAGTCATAGGACAGATGTTTTGTTAAATTACTTTCAGCTTTTGAAATGTCAAAGAAGTATATATTTTTCAGACCGTTTATTGGGAATCCCAGTTGGAAGTGAGAGGCAATTTGAGGTAAATTGTGATTTCAGCGAGGCACAAGAGCAGCATGTAAGCTTTCTGACATCGAATTCAAACTGACACATATACGGTTTATATACACAGCACTTTACAACCACATCATATAGTTACTTAGTTATATTCACCATTAACCAGTGTCCCTGCTATTGTATTTGCGCTAACCCTAACCCTGTGCTACCAAGTTTTGAACTTGCATAATCATTTCTACTTCTGATCCTAAGAATATGATTGAGTTTGAAAGAACATCCATAACATTAATCTGTTTGCAACTTACTAATTATTTATCTAATATCATATTCCAATTACTTGTATATAGACTGTTCTTGCACTATTTATATTCTATTTTATTTGTATTTACTTGCACTTTTATGTGTTTATTGTGTTGCACTGTTGGAGGAGCTTGTGACCTAAGATTTTCATTGACATATCTACACTGTAGTGATGTTCAAAGGACAATAAAAGCCTTGAATCTTGATTCTATAAAGACAGAAAGGTAGCAGTGTGGACTCACCGAGCTGTCAATGCCCAGAGTCAGCAGCATTATGAAGAACACAATAGCCCAAAACGTCGAGCCAGGCAGAGTAGAGATCGCCTCGGGGTAGATGATAAACACCAGTCCTGCCCCTGTGCACACACAGAGAAACATGCACACACAACAGTTATGATTTCTGCTGAAAAGTTAAACTTAAGTTCCATGACCAAATTATTTAATCATTTAATCATAGCAAGTGCGAAAAAGAAATACAAGATATACTTGCAGAATTACATCATAATACAGTATTAAACCAGGCAGTGAAGGAGTTTTGAGATTAACAACTGGAAATTGTACAAACACCAATAACAACATCTATTTTTCATGAAATAACATGTATTTGTATGTGCAATACAAACAGTTTATTTATATATATAGATATAGATAAAGATATATAGATTGAAAGCAGAGAAATTATGACCATTAGTACTGCTACTACTACTGGAAGCCGAATCTCGGGACCGGAGAAAGTGGAGCAATATTCTCGCCACGCCAAGCAATAGCCTAGAACAAGTAACCTCGTAAGCCATTCTACTGATGCTGGACAGTTTTTCAGTGGGTGCACAATAAACGGCAACATACTAATTAATATAAATAAATAGCCAAATAATGGATCAACGCTCTCTGTCTAATATGTTCGCTAGCTGTTAGTGTTGTTGCATAGCAACCATCTCGCACTATGTTTCGTGCAGAAGGCAACGGAGGGACTATTTTATTTTGAACATCATTATTTACTAATAAAAACTATTTAAATTAGAGTGTGTATTTTTCTTTCATATTGCCACACTTGGTAACCGTTTTATAATAGTAATAGCTCACTTCAGGCCGTGATATATGGTCATTATATCACAGCCGATATGACTATTATAGCCTATTATAGCCTGTCGTGAACTATTGCTTAATTAATTCCAGAAAAAACCTGACATACTAAAAGCCGACCACTTTTGATTGGTTCACAATAAAAACGTTAAATATTGTTGCCATATCTGACACCAGCCCTTACCCTCTGTTGCCACATCTTCTATGTTCACTCCATGTTTATAAGCCATGTATCCGAGCACAGAGAAGATGGCAAACCCTGATAAGAAACTAGTGACGCAGTTCACAGTGCTGGTCAGGAGAGCGTCCCTGGAGAAAGAAAACAACACAAGATCAGAAATATGTTCAAAAGTTTCTACACATGTTCATCTCCCTTCCCTTAACCCGAAAACTGTCCGACGTACATCATCCACGTTATCACAATGCTGTGTTTTAACTTTGGCTAGAGTTAACTTTAATTCTTTTTTCTGAGGGACTAAGTGTCGTTTTATAAAAAGACATAAAGCCAGTTTTATTCCTCTGACTCACAATGTAAAGTCTTAAAGGGGCCATGTGTCACTTGATATCTTTCAAGTTGTACATGGCTTGATCATCTGCAAAACACTGCGTCTCAGGGGTGATATTCAGGTTAATGAGAAGCTTTTGTTCTCCGCTGCTTCGAGTGAGCTGCTCTGTGTTTACAAACCTGAGCTTATCGGACAAACTAAACACGGTCAACTTAACCATGGCTATCTCCAAAGCTGAGAAAGCAGAAATCTTTCAATAAAGCTTATTCTCCCTGGTGACTCTCCATCTAAAGAATACCTTCCTTTGTCTTCCTGTGCAGGCTGTGATGGAACTATTTAAAGTGTATTAATTGGTATTCAACACAGTATTCACATCACTGTGCCTCACTTAAGAGCATGCATATGACACTAATACATGATTTCAGACGTAAAATATGTACACAACCCTGATGAGACAAATAAGTGATGAGGTAAATTAGTAAAAGAGAAAGGAATATGTGTCTTTTTAACATCCGAAAACGTTTCCAAGTCATTAGCACTGTTATTTTAATACATATATCATAATTAGCTTAACATACTATTACAAGATGTAGATGTCAAGTACATTCGAGAAAGTTGGACTTTTTCAAGTCATTGTTTATTAGAAAATCTTTAGTTATTATAGGCCTAACTGAATTCAGAATATATCATGGAGATAAACCAGATGAGGCATTTCAACAGGTCAAGGGATCATTTGAAAGGGAGCATTTCATGTAAAAAAGAAACAAAGATTTGTCAGAAGACTGCGTCGTTGTCTTGTACTTTTCTGATCGCTTTTGAGGTTTTCCTTGAATCCCTGAGTTTTATATCTCACACAGGTGATTGTTATGGAGAACAGACTGCTACACTCACTGCACCATACAGTGCCTAATGCAGAGTTCCTCCATCTGTTTGGGCATTCAAACAAAAGTCTGTGTTTCGTGGAAGTCTTTCTAAAAGCACCGGCTCTTCCGGGCTTCTGCCATTCACCTATAGTTCAGATTTGCTCGTTTGCTGCATAATGCAAATCCCAGCTGCCAGCAGTGCACCACATCTCGAAATAGGACATAAAAAGGAAGGAAGGCAGAAGGCCCCATTGGAAGAAGAAGGTGCAGGAAATGAGAGCGGACAGAAGAGGAGGGGGTCTATAATGCTTAGAGCAGTTGTTTAGCTTATAGGAGCCCCTGTGATTTACATTTCACATGTGGGAAAATAGTGAAATGTAATTGATGAGAACCGTTTTACTTTAAGATAGCTGTACTTTAGCGGCAGGATCATGCTTTGATTTACGTGAAGCTTCACTGAGATATTTTTTGTCTTCTAGTGAGGTATATTTACAACCATTCAAGGTTAAACTTCTATTTTTCCAACAGCGTCTGCCTCCAACCTCCCCCATGTGGAAAAAGATAAGCTCACTATCTCGTGCCTGCTTTTTCTGAAGAAGAGCAGCAGTATGACAAACCCAGTCAACATTCAGCCTTTGGCTATTATCAAGAAACCTTTCCTGGCCTGCACTTTATCTGTCCTGTTAACACCTGGCCATTCGGGTCAGATGTACAGATTAGCATCATCTCTGCTGCTCAGTGATCCAGTTACATGCAAGAAAACAGCTTGAAGCGAGCAGGATGTTATGTTACTGTGGGCTTGTTTTGGACAAATCATAAATAACATATGCAGACTCTTACCTGTAGCAGTTGTTGTCAAATTTGTTATAACTGGCAAAAGCAATGAGCACCCCAAAGCCTGCTCCCAGTGAGTAGAATATCTGGGTGGCAGCATCAATCCACACCTATGGCACAGAGAACAAATCCTTTAAACTCCTACAGTGTAATAAATCCACAACGACTCTGACGTAAGTATTACTCCCAGAGAAGAACATCAATGGAAAGATCTGAAGTCCCAATTCAATAAGAATAACATAACACTGATGGTCTCTTCACTATTGAAACCTGGAACAACAGACTGAAAACAATAATCATTTTAACCATGGAGACCCATTCATAGTCTCTCCAAAAAAGCAGTCTCTGACCTCCAGATTGTTGAGCCGCTTCAAGTCTATGCTGAGGTAGGCCTTGATGCCATCCTTGGCTCCAGGTAGAGTTATGCCTCGGATCAGCAAGACAACAAGGACAATGTAGGGCATGGTAGCTGTGATGTACACCACCTGAATACACACACAAACAGATAAAAGCGTGAAAGCACAAAATATTAATGTTTTCGTTCACCAAACAGACACAGAATTACTGACAGTACTCCTTAAAAAGGTTCAAAATCCCTCTCCTACTATCTTTCTGAGTTAAAGTGCTAGGCTAACACAGCAGAGAAAAAAACAGTACATACGTCATGTAAAACTATAGGATAACAAACATTGTGTTTGCAACTTAAATCATAGTGTTTTCAACCTTTTCTGGCATGGGTGAAAGTAACTGCAGTATACACAGGGCCGTCCCTCCCTACAGGCAGATCATGCAGACTGCGAGGGGCCTCACCTCGCGGAGGGGGCCTCATCTTGCAGAGGGGGCCTCATCTTGCGGAGGGAGCCTCAACTGCACGGTTTTGCCGCTGCGAGGCTCCACTAGCAACCTCCCCCCCCCCCGTCGAACAGAGCGCCTCATCATCTAACTTTGTGTGGGGCCTCAAGTTGGCCAGGGACGGCCCTGAGTATACATAACGCATTCAATGTAAAGGGGAGGACAGTCTCCAGTTGTCAGAATGTTTATTGCTGCCTCTTGACCTTTTGACTCAGTAACAACCATTTACAGTGAGCTGCTTTACAAGATTTCTGTGTAATGTCTGTGTTATGCAATCACAGCTACAAATTGTAGGTGTCATAAAATGCAAGGGTTGTATATAGTTAAATAAACAAAGGTAAAAATGGAGAAAGCAACATTTGGTGGTCCAGGCCTGTACCTTCCCTGAGGATTTGACACCTTTCCACAGGCTGAAGTAGAGGATGAAGAGCACCACCACCAGACACAGAGTCAGCTCCCAGCGGGGCAGGCCAAGGTCCTGGATACCCCTACTCTCATGGAGATGCAGCACACCCCGTCTGCAGAAAGACAAAACACACACAAAACTGAAAAATGTGTACTGTATCATTATCTCCAGGGGATATATTTGAATTATTATATACTGTTGTCAACTCGGACGATTTGATGTGAAGTCCTTATTCTATGGTGTGTTTTCAACGGTGTAACGGCATCAGGGCCCAGACACTTACACCATACGTATGCAGAAAGGGGCAATTATGGCTTTTGGCAATAATTCATGGGTCAAAGACAACATCAGGAATGATAATACATGACCAGTGAAAAGAGAAACAGAAAAATCTATTCAAATATGGAAAGAGAAGTAAGGCTTATTATTGGAGTGAGCATTACATTGACAAGAACAAGAGCACCAAAGATATACAGTACAAGGTCACGAGGTTTACGAGGAAACAGTGGAGCTGCAGAAACCTTCCTGGACAGTATAAGGAGAAATGGATTTGAGAAGGCAGGGGTACGAGGGGGAATACGGAGCTATCATGAGTGGAGTCTATTCAGGTAGGCCTGGATCGTGGACATTGAAAGCTTGCTAAATATGCACACTGTGCTGCAGTGCTTTCACTAAAATAGCCCTCATCAGCACAGAGAGAGAAAAAAAACAGGACAAAGCTACAACCCTGAAGAAGCAGATGGAAACACTCCACTTTGTTTTTCGAGTGCTTCTCCAAACAAAAGTACTGGAAAGTGTGAATGCAATGTCAAAGTTGCTGCAGGCGAAAGATGTAGAAATCCAACAATCAGCCAGCCTCCTGAAAACCATTCAGGTCCTATCTGCATACTGAGACGATTGTTACCAGGTCCAGAGAACACTCTATTGCTGAGAACACACAGTAAGTTTGTGGAAGTTTTGCAGAAGAAACTCCATTGCAATAAACTTTGTTAGGATGACAGGCTCAGGGACGGCAAGAGTCATTTCAGGATTAATGTATTCAACTTTGGCCTTCAATATCACCCATTTATCACAGAGGTTTTCCCTCAATGTGGGAAACGACTAATCTGTTTCAGGCCATCCATTCTAGCACACTGAACAGGACTCAGGATGATGTACTCAGGATGCTCGCACAGAGCCTTGTCGACAACTATGGCAGGGGTTTATCCGCAAGTTTCTCTGGCCAATTCCTCAAACACAATATAAAATATGAACTGGAATATGAAATATGAACAGCAATGTCCTTTTGTTGGCCAAAAGGATATTGCTAAAATGCTTATTATAGATGGAGGATCATTTAATGATTGCTTAATGAAGTTTGCACTGCAATGCTGTTAACATTAACACTTAAATTACATGTCAAAATAAAGTGATAAAGTCCTAATAAAGGAGCAGCATGAGACAAGAAAGACCCAATGGATCGGCCATAATCTCATCAAGGGCCATAACTTTGGATTTTAAAAGAATGGTTAATGACTTTGCTGAGCCTATAAGAAGAACGTCTATTGGTTGATCTGTATAGCCTATAGGCTTCTGCTTGTAATGGATCAGAGTTCATGTTCAAATGAATGGTTTACTGTCGTCCAATACATTTGACCAACAAGAATGTGATGATAAAAGATGATCCAAGTGGTTGTGTGATCAGGGGGTTTCATCTGTAATGCTGTTTTGCCAGAATGTCAAGTTATACAAGAGTTATTATTAGTAGTAGACCAAAAAGGTAGATAGATATGTCACTATGTGTACAGACGTCCATTTTCACTTGTCACTTTAACTTATTCCGTACTTTATAACTTAGATGACCAAATATGTACATATGCTGACAGTTATTTTACAGTTATTTTACTCTTATTTTTACTCATCTCCTATAGTCTTTTATTATTATTATCATTTAAATTTTTTCTTGATTTTATTTATTTTTGATTTTATTAATCTGTGTAAATCTATGCTTTTTTCACGCTTACCCTGTTGCTGCTTTGTACAACTGAATTTCCCCTCAGGGATTAATAAAGGTTCATCTTATCTTATACGGTGCAGGGTTTTCTTCATGGCTATTTGTTCTGTCTGCATTTACATCCTGATGAGCATAACTTTGCATTTATCTGGATTCATGTCCTTTGATTTTTGTTAGAATCTCTTGAGTGCCATCAAATATTAAAGACGTTTTATTAGCAGATCATGATGTGAGGCTTACGGTCTTGTTAGATTAAAGCACTGATGGATTCCTGTTCATATTACAGTCCATTGTTCTGCTCAAAGGCTTGTCGCTGTTTGTGATGGCTTCTCCTTAATGACATAATGATCAGTTGTCTGCTTTTAGCGGGAAAGACCTTTAGCAGCAAGGCCTGTGACAGTCATGTTTAGCTGTTGTATGGTACGTTATTTTGATTGGCTACATCTAACAATTTTTTGACATGTTTTTGTCAAACAGGCCCACTCAGTCACAGCCCACGCTGTAGGTGTCTGACTTGGAGTTTGAAGATAAAGTATTTCCAATATGTTACATCCACATCTCCCAAGTCTATCATTGGCAAAACAATTGTCAACGAAGATTAAATATATTTTACATACAGTATATCCATCTTGGTGAAAACTTGGTCAAACTGGATGATACATCTGTTTACTGGCTTTTAATGTATTTACTATGTGTCTCTTTAACTCTCTCTGAACCTGACATGTAATACTTTTGAAAGCTTTGGCATTGTTTGGCTTTTATAAGCCATTATCCTTGGGCTAAACATTTACTGTCAGATCAAGATTTAAATGTGTTGTTGATCCCTAACTAAACAAAGATAATATATTTCATAAATGTCTTAATATTGTTTCCAGCTGCGAGCTTAGTCTTTGAATGTCTGCTTCGAGTAGTTTTGAGGAAGTGTACAACTTCATGGTCAAATCCATGTGATGTATCACAGTTGTTGTTGTTATTGTTGTTGTTGTTGCCACTTGGTCAGAAGTTGCTTTCAGTATGATATCCTGACAGTAAAAAGACTTAATACACAAGAATGTTTAAAATCAAAAGTTGTGGTCTATGCTTATTTGTTTCATCTAGAGAGTAACATATAATTAGTATCAATCTGTTGTTGTGCATACATTAAGTATCTGGAGTCACGATGTGTAAACATTTTTTTTTAAAACAAGTAGGTGGCTAGCCTAACTGTGTCAAAAGTGAAAGACAAAAGCTGACAAACATCGTCTGTCCCTACACCCACACGCCAACATCTTAACTGGGTTGTTTGCGTCTGACAATTTCAATCAATCTAACATTCACGCCCACCACACAGAGTGACTGGCCTGAAGATGAGAAAGTTGGTGTACAAGCTTTACACAATAATGTATACTACTTTGGATGTGTACAACTAAGTGCAACACAAAACATTCCTTCAAGAAAAGTAAAAAAAGCCACCATGCCAGCTCACATAGTGCCTTTGCGTGTGGATTCTCTGAGCAACAACAACTTTCCCTTCAAGTATGCCAGATAACATGCCTTACAAACTATATTGGCCAGCCTCATTGTCTAATTGATGCAGTCAGGTTTGGTACCATATAATTGGTAATTATTTGTCGTTTTCAGCAACATTTAGATTCCATTTCCAATTGGTAACATGGTTCAAAATCGTTGGATCTACTGTTGTTCACAAATACTGGGTAAGATCTGTTCCAATGCATTACAATTCTATGGGAAATTGCTCTGTAAAGTAGTGTCTCAGCAGGCCTCAGCCTCAGCAGACAGAAACATCTGTCGGTGAAGATAAGACTCCTTATGGGCAATCAAGTGACCAACAACAAAGCGCAATGACTGTCTGAGGGGCGAGGACTGTGGTTTCATCTTTACTGTAGATCACCTGCGTCTAATAATAATAATTCCTTACTATAGCTATTATAGCGCTTTTCCAGATGCTCAAAGCGCTTTACAAATACACATTACACATATCATACATGCAATGGTCACCACTGTGGACAATACCCACAGGAGCAAGTTCAGGTGAAGTGTCTTGCCCAAGGACACAACGGCTTTACAGACGCAGCACAGCGCACTGCGCCACACCGTCCATCTTCATGCCTCGAAGTCATCGAGGCGCTTTTACAAGTACACATTGATATCATACATCTACTGTGGACAATACCCACAGGAGCAAATCCGGGTGAAGTGTCTTGCCCAAGGACACAACGGCCTGACGCAGTGGCGGCAGGAGCGGGTTTCGAACTGGAGTTGATGATCAGATGCACAGACCACTGCGCCACCCACCTGTCTACTGACAGAGAACAGGAACATCTAGCTGCAGGACACCAGCATACACACAGTGTCCCTTAAGGAACAATGTGTACTTGTGTGGGTATCAAAATCCTGCTGTAAAATATATAAAAGCACCTTTGTTCCTTTTACATTTGTCCTTAAACTTTCCTCAAAAGAGATTCAATTAAGTTGGCATGTGATGTTATGGGTTGATAAACAGGGGAACTGGATTTGGATCTTGCTTATGTAACGGCTCGAGACAAAACACGCGATTAGGAACACGCAAACCGAAGTCTGTACTGAAGGGACCAAAGATCTGTGAAACTTGTCTTCTACATGTTTCTTATCTTTGGCTGATAATGAATCCAAAGCTATAAGGTCTTTGGGGACGCAGATAGTGGCGTGAAGACTTCAGTTTATTTGGAGGGAGGAATTTAGAGTCATGTCTCTGTCCTGGAGGCTTCGTGTTGGTGATGTGTTGTAATGCCTGAAGGCCTCCTTGTACATCTGATAGTATTGATAGTGCTCTGCCAGTAAACGCTCACTATAACATCAATCCAGGTCCCTTTGGCCCAGTTACTCTAAACACATTTACTCTTATCGTCACTCAGCGAGCTGGTTATGCTGCTATCCTTACACTCAATGTCGCTCTCTGTATACTTCAGGCTGGCGTGTAGCCTGGTCATAATGTGGGTTAAGGAATGAGAAATAGGGCATATAAAAATCAAGGTCTACAGACGTGACGACCAAAACAAAGCGGAGGGGGTTTGTCTAAATTAAGCACGATTTAAGTGGTTAATTACAAAAGTCCTGTACTTGTTATTTTGAATGTAATTCTTCCAACAAATAGGTTCGATTTCATGTGAGATTAAAGTGAAGAGGATTGTTTCTTAAGTGTCCGTGTAATTAGATCTTTGTTTTTAAATGAGGGCAATTTATCAAGTGTAGTTATCCTTGAAATGAAATCAGATGTGGTTGCCTCAGGCTAAATCTAAAGAGAAATTATATGGGAAGCTGATAATAAAATGAGCTGGTCTTGTCGTTGCTGATAAAATAGTAAGATATTGATACTGACAAACATTATGGCTTCGAGTGGTGACACCTGCCAGCAGGGAGACTAACACATTGCAATGGGAGCAAAATCATCCATGAATGCCAAACTCAAGCAGATTAGATAGAATTATGAATCTCTACTTTGTGTAAAAAATATGTCGAGATTTGTCAGCCTTTGGTTTAGATATTTGCAACCGACCAAAGAGACCAGGTTATGATTTAAAAGAACTAGAGACCAATTTGTGATGGGATCACACAAGACGCAACGCCCAATTAGGCCAAAGGTGTAAAAATGGCATTTCCTACTGGCCTACTTCCAGCGTCCTTGATAAGACCAAACCAATTTTTGATATCGTCATTCAATTCGATCTCAACGAAACACCCGTAATGTTTTGTGCATCTTGCAAGGTTTTGGAGCAATAGTGGTGACAAAATCCATCCACAGCCAGATAGACATAACACTGGGCAAAGTGGTGTGTAGGGGTAGTTCCACTTCAGCAGGTGTCACTAGCATCACATGTTGCCATGTTGACACACAAAGTACAGCCACTTAGCACATGTGAAGGTGGGCTGGAAGATGACTGTCATAGATGGCAAGAGGTTATCATCATTTAAATACGGGATGACAAACAACTCGACTGGAAGTCAATCATTATGAGGCTCTTGTTGGTACACATCACACGTGTTAGAAAATAGAGATTGTCTGAGAACTTCACATCTTTTAATAATTCCCTCGTCCTGCCAATCTCAGCTTGGAGTGGACTGATTGTCAGTTACAGAAAGTTGCGCAAAAGTTTGAGGGGAGGTTGTTTTAAAGGCGATTAGAGCATTATTAGCATTCTAACCTTATCAACTCAAAGCCCATCCCTACAGCTTAGTGATGTATTGTTTCTGCACGTGTAGTACAGAGAACTGTTGCTGTGGTGGGGGATTCACTTTTGGATGTTTTTTTGTTCTCTTGAGACAGCACACATTATTAAATTAATCACAGAGAAATGCCAAGAACTCTCGTTTCCAGGTCAGATTTTTTGTCTGAAGCCATGTTTTCTTGGCTGTCCTCTTTCGATCCACATCATTCAAACAAGACCTGTCACATGATGTCATACCATCTGTTCCTCTCAGCTTCAATGGTTTGGACTGTACTTGCTTTTAATGCTACATATAGCAGCATAGTTTAAACCTGAACTTGTATTAGGTAAATGTAGAGAATATATGTAGGGTTACTGAGTGAACGCCTGTAATTATGGGATCGAGGTAGTGAAAAAGCCTTTAGTTTGAATGATATTGTTTTTGGGTTTAACTGAATTCTCAAATTAGGGATATATACTGTATATTCTAAACATGCAAAGGAAAAGAAGCAAGAAAGTATTTTAGATTAGATTTTTTAGTATTGTTAGATTCGTCATTTCCATCAAACAAAAACAAACATTTAGGCCGCTCTAATCAATATTACTATTTTAACAAAGGATCCAATGACTAAATGTATGTAAAAAGTGTCAATATGTCAGTGTTGTGCTAAAGAAAAGATCCACTAACAAAGCTTTAATGAAAAACTAAACCAGATGAGATACACTTTATTAGCACCCTCAGCATGGTTGTATGTGACAATTCATTTTAAAAGTGTAATAGTAATACTGGTTACTGTTTTGAGCACCTTGGCTCGTGGTGTAGAGTCTGTCAAGTTTAGTTATTTACGCTCATGATAGCTGACGACAGTAGGCTCAAGAGGACATAGAAGAGTTTAGGAGGTGAAGCAAGAGACTGTTGACTCAGTTGGCCTCCCTTTCTCACGCTGAGTCTTGGCATTGCTCATATCTCGCCGTAAGCAGGAGGAGTTATTGTCCCCTGCTGAGCCGAACCCCATGCAGGATCTGTCTCGAAGTGTCTACTGAAGTTTTCCTTTGAGTTAGGAGTAGCCATCCAGCTGGAGCATACTGTTTATACTTCTGATTTGAAAGACAGCCAGTGATAGTGATTAAATAAACACACTATGGTAGTGGAACTTTCACAAGCTCAATGATTTGACGGGATGCATGCTCAATGTATTCTGTGCGTCACGCTTAGCATGTGTCTGCTCTACTGTCCAAGTCCCTTCACACACTTCCTCTGGGCCGCACAGTCATTCTTCACAGAAGCTAAGGGAAGAGCTGGCTGGCTTTGAAGTATAAACAGATGGAGCTTTTTCATGCACTTCAAAGAGTTTATGTAAACACATTTATAGTGAAAACATTTATGGTTGCATTCAGTGATTACCCCCCTCTTTGTGTGGATTCTGGTGCATTTGTTGCATGGGGATATCATGAGATTTAGCGTGCCGCTGATGGTTGTCAGCAAAGCTGTATCAGATATAAGTGTCAAGATGAAAGAAAAGTCAACAAATGAACTAAGCAAACATAGATGGCTTTTTGGATACAGTAGCTGTATTTACATGCAGATGTTATCTTATTGCAATCGTAAATGTAGTCTTAACAAATAATTAAATAGTAGCATATATCCATGTAGCCTTTTGACATTCACCAAATAGCTTCTTGTGATGTGTTTTATGCCATTCATTTGTTTTGAGGGAATTTCATTGGTATGATGCTTTAACAGGATATTACTGCTGATTCGTGATAAAGTCCGGTTTTCCAAAAAGGTCACCTATTATGCAAAATTCACTTTTCATGTCTTTTATACATAACCATGTGTCCCCTCTGTGGAAAGAGATTCTGAAAGTTTCAGGAAAAAAGATTAGCTCACTTTTTGTCCTGATCCATTCATAAAAACCTGTCTGAAAATGAGCTGATCAAATTTTGGCCACTTTATGATGTCATAACGATGTTTTGGCTTGTGTAACCTTTGGCCTATAACCAACCAAGGTAACCCTTTTCCTACGGTTGTATTACATGTTAATCATGCAATGGGCCGTACAGTAAAATGAATGACTCTGAAATCACTCACTCATAAAACTCTGCTGCCGGGGTCATCTTGTACTTGGCGTAGGACCCGTTGCCAAGGAGGGACCCGTTGACGGCTTTGGGGTCCGTGCAGTTCAGGCTGTTCCAGATGTTTCCACATAACAGCCACGGCAGATCCCTGGTCATGGAGGAGTACAGGTAGTAGAGGGACCAGGCGATGATGACATTGTAGTAGAAGCCAACATACAGGGCTATGATGATCACAGTGTAGCCCACACCTGAGGAACACAGAGGTATTAGTGAGGAGGAACAAAAACATTTCTTACAGTCACAAAGTGCAAGTTCACCTAAAGGTCACCTATTATGCAAAATAGCAAACTGAAGTGGACCACAGGTGCAACATTTAGATGAATTTAGATGTTATAGTCAGTATTCTGAGAATAAAGTAATATTTGTATTGTAAACTATTTCTGAGTTCTTGAATGCTTTTGGAATTTTTCCTTTTTTTGCTGTTATAAAGAATACAACGTTGCCTACAGTTAATTGTTGTCGGTATACTTAAACAACTGAAGCATTGACTTTAATGAAATGTTTTATGTCAACACATTTCACATCACTGTAATAGGTTAGTTGAAAGCAATAATATTAAGTTGAATCTATTTAAACTTAAGAGTATTCTTTCATTAAAGTCAATGCTTCAGTGTTTTCAGTGTATATTGTTGCAATTTTTTTCCTTTAATCTGACGCCTTGTGCTCCTTACGACATACGACTGAAGAAAAGGTCGTCTACCGATCGGAGGGTCTGCGGTTCAATCCCAAGCCCCTGCAGTCCACATGTCATTGGGCAAGATACTTAACCCCAGATCAAAGTGTATGTAAGTCTCTTAGGTTAAAAGTACAGGCTAAAAAACATGTAATATAATGTTTTCAGTCCGATTCACAGTCATATCATCACCATGAGGTAGGTACACATATCTTTCCCTCAGCAGTGAAGGGAACATTCACATCGTAATTTATCAAACTTACTATTCACACATTTTCACTGAGAGCTGCTATTCATCATTTGGCACAAGTAAATGATGGGATGAGTGGTTGTTTTTGTCTCCACTGGAATGTTATATCTTCACGTGAAGACGGAGAAGCCGTTAATCTATCATCCACTCATCTCCCTCCTCGGTGCTGAAGCCAATACAATCAGTGAGTGGTGGTTCAATGTGTGTGTGTGAGTGCAGACTCACCCGGGTACTTATCTGACAGCGTTTTCAACGTGACACTTAAAATAATAACAATCTGTTGTTTAAACCATCACACTTCTAAGAAGAAGTCAGGCTGGTGTGCATCTGTAAAACGCAGCAAGGTTTGCTTTACTCATTTCTCAAGTCGACATTTGAAAACAATAGACAGGGGTATAAGGTTGAAAGGGATCATGAACATACAGAGAGGTGAAACGGAGAAAGAGGTGGAGATACAGAGAGATTAGTCACAAGTGACACTTCTGAACCTTTGAAGATTAAAGGACAAGAACAAAGGGATGCAATTAAAGGGCAAGACACTGAAGAGAAGCAAAGAAAAGGAGGATGACTGCTTTATGCAGCACTGTTTAAGAGGTTAGACAGGCAGGTTCACATGTGTGTTACAGCTCACCTTTAAAGGCAGGGCAAATCTTCCAAACTGTAGCTGCCCCTTCCCTGTTGTACTGGCCCAAGGCAAGCTCCATGTAGAACAATGGCATCCCCGCAATGACCAGGAAAAGAACGTACGGGATCAAAAAGGCACCTGGAAAGAGAAATAATTACATTTCATGCTTACATGTCGTATGTATTTTTATTAATGTTGTCAAAATTATCGCGTTAATGGCGGTAATTAATTTTTTGAATTAATTGCATTAAAATATTTAACGCATTTAACGCATGTGCAGAATGGCCCGCCCCATACGTGCCACCAGTGGCAGCGCCAGGGTATGGCTGGGGTAGGCTACACCCATACCAAGAAATGGCTTAGCCCCACCATGAAAAATGATGTTAAAGTAAGCAAAATAAAGTCCGCCAACTCGCGGAGTAAATTGCACAGACAAGCAGTTATAGTAAGATTGATTTCAGTAGCCACTTGTCTGGAAATACCGAAGACCAGAAACGGTTTTGAAAACTTTTGTCACGTAGTGATCGTCTTCTCAATAGAACATCGTTGATAATGTCTTCTGGCCAATCAGAATCAAGATAACGGCGTGGTGTTGTTGCAGGAAGTCTCGACGGAGAATACTTTTGCTGTAGTACAGGGGTGCACATAACTGGTACGCAGGTTATGTGCGTAATCTGAAATGCGTACTTGTGTCACAGAGCGCATTTGCGTACCGACGTACTTGTGAAGCTTTTCCAGAAGGCAGTTAGATCACCGGACGACAGAGTCGGTCTCCGTGTGCACAGACAGGGCTGCTGTTAACGTCGGTCTGTACAACGGAATTGTGCCAAAACTACGCCAACTGGCTGCTGAGGGAGACTCCCCCCCTTCACTGGAGAACTGTGCTAAAACAGCTGATCACAACGTTCACACTCTGTGGTCACGAAGTACTCCACTAGCCGCCGCCCGTCGACTTTCCTGAAGTAGGCCTACTCCCCCGTTGATAGAAATCAACAAGTAATGAATTAAGACCCCACGGTTTGATGATTGATAGGTGCTCTCTTTCATTTTGACACACAGAAAAATGTTACAATAAACATGTTAAATGGATATATCCGCCTTATTTCATTTATCTTTCCATTCCCACAACAATATACATAAATAAATGGCATATTTTGGACATAGTTCGAATGGTGATTAATTATGATTAATTAATTTTTAAGCTGTGATTAATCTGATTAAAAATGTTAATCGTTTGACAGCCCTAATGTTTATTTAATCGCTCATATGTCTTTTGTTTTGCTTACAGTAAAACACTGATATAGGATAGGTGTATAATGAGGATATGAATGCTATACTAAAGTGGTGGTTTGGGGACTTGACATTGTTGGAAAAAACAACGGAAGCAGGAAGGCTTAAAGCTATTTTCATGCTGTGCCTCAGTTGACTGTCCACCAACAAGGAAATGACCCCCTGTAATTTAATTGTTCTGGACACTGTCCATCACAAATGACACATTATCTACACTAATGAATACATTTAGCTGAGGGCCAGTATGATTGACAGGCCAGAGGTGGAGCTAACCCTGTGGGCACAACATGTTGATTTTGGCCATGTGAGTGGACACATATGAGCCCTCTGTTGATGGTGAAACAATACAAGACAATCTTTCATTGATTCAACTATATACACCCTCTTCCTCTCACTGTGGTGCAGCTGCACTGAAAGTGGCACAACATTAAAGCAACTTTAAAATGCATCCATCCATTCAACTGCTTGTTTACAGTGTCATTGGGGCTGGAGCCGATCCCAGTTTACAAGGTGCCACTTGAAAATAACAACATAGTTAATTTATTATGACCGTTTTCGTCATATTTTTTAACACATGAAAGAAACACAGAAATAGAAACACTTCAAAACCACCTGTTACTTTTCCCCGCCTCACTACTGTGCACCTTAGTTTTTAAGGGTGGTTATTTCTTAACCAAAGATCCAGGCACCTATATTTGTAAGCTGTATTATTTATATGTGTGGATACATTGGGAGTTGTAAAAAAATAAATAAAATGAATCTGGCGAGCCATCATCACTTTCAACTCTCTGACTGTTTCTATGTGCAGGCCTTGATGAAATGAGGAATGTCCTTCTTCATGTAAGCTACAGTAAATTCACTTCCACATCAATACACTTGGGACTATTAGAAAGTTAATCAAACAAGATTAAAGGAACTAGAGTTGGAACAACAACATGTTAAAATACCTTAACTCTGAATCTAAATCCAAAGAGATTAACAAGTAATTGCATTGTCAACACATTTGCATTTTTGAAAGATTTCAAAGTAAAAATTAGAGGTGCTTTGCCTGATCCCTAAATAAGAGAACACCAATGAAGAAAAACTCCTATCATTTCACTGGAGGGGCTGATAATAACTTGTGTTACTTCAAGGACTTCTTACATTAATCAAAATTGTGTGACCTCTTCGAAATGTTGAAGCATCTCAACAGATAACAAAAACATGGTGTACTCACCTCCTCCATTCTTGTAGCACAAATAGGGAAATCTCCAAACATTGGCCAGGTCCACCGCGAAGCCAATAACCGACAGGAGAAAGTCCATTTTCTTGCCCCAAGTTTCTCGTTCCTCCTCGGTGGCTCCGGGGGGACCTGCGAGGTGGCCAGGGGAGGGGATGATGGAGGAACTGGTGTACTGGACGCCATTCTGGTCCTTCACCAGTATCAGTTCTACCTCCCTTTTCTCCACATTGCACTGCTTCAGCGGGGCCACCGATGAGAGCTTGTGTTCTGGCACAACCTGGATATTCATCTTCTCCCCGGTGCTCTCGCAGCACCCTGCGGGTACTTGCAGAGCTCAGGGTCTGAGTCGATGCGCTTAAGGTTGGAAATCCCGCGGACAGCAGCTGGATAAGCGATAATTCGCCACCCAAACTTGAGTTGATACCCCCGCATACATTTGCTGGAGAAGAGGGAAGAGAAACAGAGTTTGGAGAGGTTTGATGTGTGTGCGTAAAGTTTAAGTACAGAGAGAAATACAAGTGAGGCAAGGGGTTAGGTTAAATTATTCCTCAAAAGTAAGACCGTGGTATGAATACACGAAAAGCATTAAGATGAAACGTTGTTTTTGTGGTCTGATGCACAGCTATAGCAGGTGAACTATACTTCAGAGCTGTTGCCTCTCCATGCGCGCAGAGCATAAAGCGCGCTAAACAGTCAATCAAACAACAACCTACAAATAAGCATCATAATGAGAAATACAAATCGTTATTTGAATATATCACCGTTGCTAAATAAAGGTCTGCAGTTGAAAGGATGTCCTCCGTACTTGGTGAATCTAGGGACACTTCTCCATGACCCGATGCTGCTGTTGTCCAGATGCATCTGAAGGAAGACTGCCCATTCTGAAGGAACTATAAGACTCGCCTTCTCCAGCAGGGACGACATACAAAACCGAGCTTTTAAATCGGTTTCCTATCTCTCTTCCACGTGATGTTTTTTAATTGAACACTTTCTCTCCAGTTTCATGCGGATCTGGTAGGATAGTTTTTTTTTTTTTTTTGTCAGAACTCAAGTTCCCATAAACTTGTGCATCCACTTCAGACCTGCAAGGGCAACAATCATCAGGGACAATATTGGTATTACCATTAATCCGCGTAAACATAATATGATATTTAATAAAGAACTTATTCTTGTTAAAAACACTTTATAAAGGATGGACGTGGGCGTCTATTTTAAGAAGAATTTGTCAAGAGCAGAATAAAAAGACATATCCTGTCTTTGCTTTTCAGACTGGCATAGATATATAATTTACCAAGAGACATGAGCATTTTACCTTCAGAATTATCTTAGTGCTTGCATTTCAGGTCCAACAAAACTTTTTGTAATGTTTTAATTTTGACTTTATCTGTTTCTTCTCTGTACTAAACATATTGAATTACGGTTTTCTAAGAAGCCATGAAAGCACTGTGTTCCATGTGTAATTCAATTCTACAGCAGCTTTAGCCAGGGGCAATGATTTTTATTAGATATGGTTGATCAGTTCATCCCATTAAAGTCAATGAATGTCCTCTTTGCTCTCCATTGCTTGTTTTATAAAACCCTAATAGGTTTGGTTTTGGGCGTTTTGTTTGAGAAGATTGAATAACTGCAGTGATGGTAAAGCAAAGGACCAGGTAACAAGGAAGGATAATGTGTTATTACTGTTGTCTTCTCTTGAATTAGTTATATTCTTTTGCACTTTGTTTTGTATTGCCAGGTATCTGTCAAGAATCACCACGTTTTTTGTGTTAACATCATGATAGTGTTTGATGGTTGGTGTCTTTCTAAACATGTGTGATGGTGTAAGACCGGGTTTTCTAATCATTTTAATGTGCAGCAGCATAGTTTGATCCTCCCTTAAAAGTAACTCACAGATGTATAGCAGATTGAGAATAAACTATAAAAAGTACCAATCATCATGATTTAAAGACGTGCAGTTACATCCATCATCCTGGATTCCAGCTGCAATTATTGAGACCTCCTTCCTCTTTCTTAAGGTCTGGGTTTGTCCATGTTGACCTGTGGATGAGATGCTAATGAAACAAGACGCAGCCTCTCAGCAGTCACAGTATGACCCTCTGGATTTAACCTGTGCATTTGGTTAGGGTCACAGAAGAGGTCTCTGTTGTTCCTTTCTGTTCCTTTGCAGATGTGGTTACTGCTACTCCTTTACAATACCTAATAAACGACTTATTCACACACACACACACACACACACACACACACACACACACACACACACACACACACACACACACACACACACACACACACACACACACACACACACACAACCTTTCTCTACATGAACATATGCTGCAGTATAGTCCCTCTGCTATTTGCATCAACCCTTCATCGTAAAACGTGCTCTAACACCAGTTCAAATTGAGAATGACTCATAATAAGCATTTATCAGATGTTTTAAACAACTCAACTCCACATAGTCCTTTTTCACGGAAAACATTTTAACCTGTCATAATAGGAAAAGCACAGCACTAAACAATGAATTTATGGCTGAACTCCAGATAGCTGCTTTGACTTCTATTTTAACCCCTTGTTTTTTCTCCTATGACAGGTCATAATGGTTTTGTGTAAAAAAGGCTTATACTGTATGTTCTGTGCGAGTCAGAACTCGCAGGAAAAATGTATTTGTACTTGTTGATACTTAATTAAAGTGGAAACAGACAGCTTTTGATTTAACTTATCATTATGAAGTAAATGGTTCATGGTGACTGTGTAATAATAACTACATTGGCTTTAGATTGGTTCTTAATAAGCCTCAATTGTCAATGTTTTTTTAAATGGCTCTCAGAATAAATACACTTTATTAACAGAGAGCATTTCCCTAATAGGAGCTTTAACTAAATAGCTTTCACTTACCATCTCCATGTACATTAGCAGAACAACCAGTGTAACATCTACTGTGGAAACTCTACCAGCAGAAAAGCCCAGTTGACAAAGGAGGCAAAGAAAGTGAAGAAGTACAGTGATCAAAAGTTATTTGTACAAAGCTGGACCAGTTAGTAACAAAGCCTGCCTACAACTTGCTTATCTATTAAAACTACTGTGTGATCTGCCTTCTTTATAGAACTGAGATATCATTTGTTTTGCTTTGGACAGTATCTAAAAGCTAGAATGCTACCGGCTGCCATGTTGCTAACAGTATATGAACAGATAGTTCAACATGTGTTTTGTTGTGTAGATTATTTGTAAAAATCAAGGGACAGAAAATATATCATAAACATCTTGTCGCAGTTTGTTTGGAAATATATGCTGTAATTCCATGGACTTAAAGCAACAGGTTACCGCATGCTAATCAGGTCATGGTAATAGCATTGAATGGGGTTTGTTTTGTCCTGCACCCTGTTAAACTTCATGTTTTAAATCTCACATAAGGGTGTCAGTAAATTCTAGGCTTTACTAGTATCTGCAACAACTTAAGCACCTCAGCAATGTTAAGTCTTATACTCTACATGCTGTTTGACATACATTCAGTGAAAATAAAAGCAGTGTGAGTCAGATGTCCAGTCACAGGGGGAACATTTCTGAGCAGAACGCAGCACATCTGGGAAATATGGTTTACATTTACCCACAAAAGGTGCAGGATAGTGAAGTGAGTTCATTAGCAGCATCTTATCCTGTCCTTCAGCCAACACCTACTCTCAAAAGGGAAAACATAATCAGTAAGAATGTGGTGCTATTGTCCTCAAAACGCTTATAATAATAATCACTTTCCTGGCGGTGTCCTTCATCTATATATCAAAGAGTTGTATCTTTCAGGAGTGCACACCCCTTCAATCTCCAAGCAACTGGTGAATGAAGAACACAATAGGGGGCATGCACAAGTCAACTTTGAAGGCTGGGTTGTAATTAGGGGGCACAAAGAGGGAGGCTTGTCAGCAGGAGGATTGGCATCATGTGTTTAAACTGTGAGAAAAAAAGCTGTGATTGATTGACAAGACTCCCATTAAGAGTCCAAGTACGTACAACTCCCATAAGAGACACATTTTTTAATTTCCATACTTTCATTTCTTATGTTCTCTCATGTAATTGTTGCATAAGATATATTGTTGCACTGTCACAAACCCTGTTACACATCATCCTTTGTGTCACTCAGTTCCGAGGAATAAAAAAGATAAATATTAGTATGAGTGATTGAAAATGTTTTTTCCTCGTCTCACGTTTGAGTTTGTTTGGAAGCACACGAATATTACACAGGAAACGTTTTTGCCAGTCTCTGGAAAAGAATGAAACGCAGAGATGTGAAACAAAACATTGAGCACGGAAACAAACCTGGCCTGCAGATAGCGACGTTAGGCCGCTGAAGTTTTATACCCCAAACCTTGCCCTCCCTGGGACCTTTACTGCTCCTCTAGTCTAGAACCATCACACAGGAAATGGGAAACAATCACTTTCATGAGAGCATAAGAGAGAGAATATCAACAAGGTGTCATCTGGTTCTGTAAGGAAATGTAACAATGAGGTTTGGAGGAACTGAGGGAGACAGCGTGCCAGGCTCAGTGCTGCAGGAGTCCAAGGTGGTCGAGATGCGGAGACTTCCACAGCATGTGTCTCTGAGCTAACACCCATCGGAGTTCAACAAACCCTTTGCGCAGAGTAGATGGACTGAAGCCAAGTATCAGTGGGTCCATCGCTACAAAGGGACGTTGTGCTGCCAAGCATTGTTCAAATCGAGAAAATCCTGTTGTAAATTATACTGGACATCTCAAAGTTCGAGAGTTTGGCAACTTAGCACCCGTATGACCTGCTTAATTAGAGTTGAATGTATATAAAACAAAGCACAAACATGTATAATATGTTCATCAGAGGATGTATACGTCCATGAAGAAGAAGACATTTTGGTTTTGAATATTTCACTCAATGAAAGCATACTCTTGTTCATTACCGATCAAAGGCCTTGTTTCCATTTGTGAGAAATAAGATAATTAACCTTAACTTGAAATGTCCTCGCTCGATTTAGCGGTAACAGTGTTTCAGCTCACTAAGTAATGGAAGCCAGAAACTAACCTCTGACCTGCATTTTAATGTTTTGACCTATACATCCATGTTCGTCATTCAGGACAAAGGAAGGGTGGTAGGAGTATACAACAGGTATCCTGTTGCTATAGCCAGGAAGAACAATTCCTATAGGAACATAAAGCCAACATAATTTCTTCCTCTTGTATAATGCTCCCAAAATATGAACATACCCAATTGCTTTTTTTCGCCCGTTGAACTATTGGCACTGTCAATGAATCCGTCTGTTATGTCATGCAGGACAAACTTGTATTTGGAAGTATGCCTTTTTCAGATGTTATGTGAAGCTGTAAAAAGAGCATTCGTACTCTTGATGGATGGGAACATAAATGTTTACAATACATATCAAATCTACCCTCTGTTACTGTATTGTATTGTAGTCATGCTGGTAACAGTCATGTTTTGCGTGAAGTCTGCATATGTTTTATTTGTAGATATAAAACATTCGCTCATACTCGTAATTAATGTGGTCATTAATTTTAGTTGGAATTTAAAGAGGCCATATTATGCTTTTTGGGGGTTTCCCTGAAGTGTTTTTTATTATAGGTCTTTGTTCATGTAAAAGATCTGCATAAGCAAAAATCACTGTGTTCCCTCCAGAAGTAGTTTCTCTCCAGCACACTCCCCCCTCTGACTGAAATCCCTCCATTGGACTCTTTGTTTACTTCCCTAACATAGTGACATCACTATGTAACAATATTGCTTCTGTTGGCTAGAGCTCCAACACATTGTACGTAATAGGTTAAGAGGCGGAACATCTCTAAGCAGTTGACCAATCACAACAGAGCCGGCCAGCTAACCAATCAGAGCAGACTGGGCTCTGGTTTCAGACAGAGGGTGTTTCTCAATGTCGAGGAAAGCTGCTCCAGAGCCACTATTTCAAGGATGCTACGTTATCGAGTCCCGCCGAACGACTGTTCCAATGTCCAGGATGCTTGGAATTCTACCGAGGCCGGCGTCCTTCATTGCGGGAAATTTCGAGGCTGCATGTGTATCCTCCGCGGTCTTAAAATCCCCACAATGCTTTGCGCACGGACCAATTTCCAAAATCTTTGGCGGAAATCGCGCTCCATTTAAGGCGGGGCCTCGCATATGACGCACACCTGTTAGCCTGTTCCACCATTCTTCATTTTCCGAGGCTAGGAAGGATCTTTGCCTCACTTCTGAAGGACCTGACTCGGAGGGACATGTCCTACCAAGGAAGCGTCCTCGACATTGAGAAACACCCACAGGGTGGAAAGAGGTGCTGCAGCACAGGCAATATGAGAGAAATCAAAACCTTTTTCAACATTAAAGCATGGAGACATGTCACAGTAGAGGCACTTAATTCAAATATGAACCTGAAGATGAGCGTAATGTCCTCCATAAATACCTTATGCATTTCAAATTCTTCCTCTTTAAGCTATCAACACTATACAGTAGGTAACATACCACCAAAGGGTTTGAACGAAATGCCCGGTTGGGTATGGATGGGTAACGAGGACTGATCCACATTTGCCCTGAGAAAGCTGGGCTACCTGCCTCAATTGAGACACACAGTAATGTCACATCTATTAAACAGCGAGGCCTGTCGGGGCTGACCTTTCTTCCAGCCCGGCACAGTGAGCCCCCCCCCCGAATGAGGCCTGTGTCCAGCCTTCGACCACAAACAGAGGCTGCTCACTCACTCTGGTACTGAGGAGACCAAATCGCATTATCAACACATATCTCCCACAATCTACTGCGACAGGATCACCCCGCAGGCTGTGCTGAAATGGATACGACAATATACAACAGCCATGCCGAGGAAAAAGGGAGGATGGAGGGTTTAGGGGAGAGCGGGTAAGTAGGGGAAGGAATCACACTGTTGTAAGCGCAGCAACAATGTGAATTAATTGATTCCATGCCATCTCATCAATTTTGATTAAAATGAAATGAGCCTCTGTACGTTTGAAAAGGTTAAAACAAATTGAAGGTGGAAATCACAGCTGGTAATCACAGTTTGTCTAACAGCGGGCTTTTAATGAAGCGACCCACTCTCCATCATTCATTTCAGCCTCCTCTGTGCATATGGAGCGATTGCATTGCTTCTCTTTTTGTGTGAGAGCACGTTCACGTTACTTGTATTTAGAACAGCATATATTAGCATCATGGCCTCCTTACAGACTCTCCTAGCAGCAGTTGGGCTTGAATATGCATTACAAAAAGTGATGAAAAATGTATGTTTTACTGTCAGACTCATTTGTTTCAAAAAGAAGTGCCATCAGATGAAAATGTTTATTCTTTGTACACTTATTTACATGTGATTTGTGATGACATGCCTTTTAGTATATGAAAACAAAGTTAAACTTGCATAATCTTAAACAACACATCACAGTACATTGTTTTTCAAATATCATTCATTATAGCCATTAGATGTTTCTTTAAAGATAAAACATTTTCACACACATACTGCACCATTTCAAGAATCAGTCTATTTCCTCAGCTGTGATGAAAACAGAAAGGAGCCCAGAAAGGTCAAATGAACAAATGCAATGGTGAAACAGTAGAAAATATAGCACAACAGTCAGAGCAAATGACTTTTGTAAAGATATTGCTGAGGTTTATTTGAATTAAACCCCATTTTAAAATATATTTCTTGAAATATGAACTTACTGAAAAAAAAATTCAAGATGAATTTTTTCTTTTCAGTAAGTAATTGTTTTTCATGATTAATGTAACATTTCCACGCACACTTGCAGAATATTTAACCCTTACTAATACATGGTGCATTACAAACCCAACTTCCTTTATTGTTTAGCTCTACCATTAATTTAAAGAACAGGCCAAAATGACAAAGGGTTAAAACTCAAAGAGGCGCTCACAAGCAGAACAACAACATATTAATTGTTGCAGGTCACTACTGGCACCTGGTGGTGGTTTAGAGAACTAAAGGTACAGATGTAGCCCCTTAATTGTAAACAGCCTCATTATAAGCAAAGCCTACAGAAGTCATTACAAGTTCCCTGTGTTGTAAACATAAAAACCGAGGCAATATTAAAATTGCATTCTTGTTTTATTTAAAAAGCAAACTTTGCTGTGTTAACAAAAAAGAAATCACATAATTGCAACGCACCTTGCTAAATAAATAACAGTGCCGCTAGTTAATCTGAAAGCACACCCCGCTGGGATATGCTGTTGTGGAGAAGCACTGTTTCCTTTTTGCTCACAAATTGCCCTATTTTCAGTGGTTGCTTGGCTTTAGTTCACTTAAAGCTGCGTAGACGTGCTGCTGTCTCAGCAACTACAGTCTTCAGTAGAAATGCAAATAGATACACATGCAAAGCAAACCTCTGGCTAATTAAACAAGGTCTGTGTCCCTGAGCACTGGAAAAAAGTGTAATGCACAGCATGTATGCTCTTCCTAGACATAGTTTTAATACGGAACATCTGCAGGTTGCCAGATTGCAAAGATCTTAATAAAGCTTACTGTACACTAATTATACTGCAACACAGAGGAACAAGGACTCTTTGCTTATATTTAAAAAGGTGTTGGTTTGGCAATATTTTTTACTCTTATACAGAGGATCACAAAGACAAAGGAGAAGGTACACAACACTATATTCATCTATGTCCAAGTAACGGTAAGCCCAGGCTACAAAGAAAGGTGTATCTAAGTCAAAAACAGGGTGAGACAGTTAAATATATCATAAAACACTTTCAATAACGTTAGAGGATTGCAGGGTTTAAAAAGTTAGAACACTGATCCGTGCCAACATGGACTTTTTTTTAAATTATCCTAGAACTAGATTTTCATTTGTTTCTTTCCTGATATACAGATAACCACACATAACACTTTAAGGATGATACATCTGCAATACGACATTTTTGTGCAGTGACTTGGGGAAGTGATTCTTTGAAATCTCTATAAGGCACTAAAATTGAAAATAGAAGCACTCTAAACCATCTATAAAAAGGCAAGCACATGACCTATTATATAATATGGCTCTGCTGTGGCGGATGACATGAGTGTGATAAAAGTCAGAGGGCAGATTTTGCTTGTTTTTTTTCTCAGTGCAGTGGATACAGTGTTTTGTCTCTCAGTGCAGTCAAGGAGAGTCTCAGTCATCTTTTTTGTCAGAGGTGCTCTCTTCCTGTATATCTGAAATCTGACCGGACAACTCCAGTTCGCCTGGATTCGCCTCCTGGATTGCTTGATATCTCTGAAGCTCCAGGTAAGTGGTGAAGAGCTTGGCGTACTCCGGGTGGCTCATGGCAAAGCTTTGAAATTCATCTTAGGAGTCACAGACACAGAGAAAAGCATAAGGATGTAGCTTACAATAAGGTATGTCAATTATAATGTATTTACTGCACATATTCACATATTAAAATACACAAGGACCAAGCTCGGCATCAGATTTAAAAGCAGTCTACTCACTGAAGGTGATGAAACCGGAGCCGTCAGCATCAATCTCCTTGAAGAGTTTGGCCATGTTTATGTTGGACACACCCAGAGCTGAGCGCAGCAGAGCAGTGAACTCCTCCCGGGTGATTCTCTCATCCTCGTCCGTATCGAACAGCTGCATGAAAAAAGTATTTGAGTTTTAAATGTTTGCATGTTCAGGAGAGATGAATGTTATTCAAATTGTGTGAAATAAGTTGATGTGCTATATTATACTGTAGGTTTCAGTATGTAGCACTTCAAATGGTGAGGCTTATTTGAAGCCAATGTACTTGCAGGATTCCTGCTGTTCTGAATTTGTCGCTTTGGATAAAAGCATGGGTTTAGTTTAGTATTTTACATAAACACCAGTTGGTCCAAACCACATTTGAACTTATGGTCAGCCGAATGACTCCATGCTCTCCACAACAGACACACGTTGTTAACATTGACATTATCCAAGCCTCTCTGAATGCTGCCTCTGTTCCTCCTACAATACTGTCTGGCTGCTGTGCTCCAATAAAGTCAGAGCAATTTAGATTTCTGTATACATTATTGTCATTGATGTGGAGTACAAAAAGTAAAAATCCTTTATACTCTAGACTTGCGCATCAAATTTGTAACAGATTTCATTTACAGAAAGGTCTGCTTTACATGGTCATATAACTTTTTCCAAGGATAGAGTCATAAAATCACGTCAAATAAATATTAGCAGAAAATGTATGATGCCGTTGAATCAGCATAATCAATGTGGAGCATTTCTGAAGAATTCAGTTTTCACACAGAAAAGCAGTGCTATGGAGGACTACCTTGGGCGACCTGATTTACTGTGTGTTTGTATTCTGTGATGTTTACACATGACTGCTATTTCTCCGGTCCCTCGTAGCAGCACTGTAATATCACAATATATCTTCCATACCTTAAAAGCCATGCGAAGCACATCTTCGGTGTTGGCCGGTCGACACAAGATGGTCACGCCGATAACGTACTCTCTGAAGTCTATGGTGCCATCTCCGTTCTAGACAGGGTCAAAGAGACGGCAATAAAAAATACTTGAAGCGGTAGCAGCATACTATGATGGATGTTTTTATATCCTTAATGGTCTAGTCATAAAAATAAACTTTTGTCAAGCATCGACAGTTTAGAAGAAAGGGTTTAAGGGAGTATTGGAAAGGTAATGGGGGGTTTAAGGGAGTATCTGGAATTGAATGTGTAAATCTCTGTTACTGGAAAATGATGAGGCATAGATTGTCTGGGGGGAAGGGATCATCAAACTAGAGGTTAGAGTCTGTTTTTATGCTATTGAAACCTCTTGTAGTCATTCCAGTGAAAGAGGCCAAAATGTGATCATAGTTTCCTCTGTCAGGCTGTATAAATCCTGAACCCACACCTTTCAATGTTACCCTCATCTGTACACAGGATATTCAGTGATGTAATTTTATTCTGTAAATTAATATTAAGCTTGTTGCCCATTAAGCTGTCAACCAGTATATTTATTGCGTGTTTCCTGCAGGGTGTGTCATTTTACTGTAGCAAGACTTATTCCAACATCATGGGTTTCAACAAAAGGGAAATTAGTATTGTGTCATCTTTATGGTACTATTTACGGTGGCTCTGGTTAAATAAAAACGAAACATCTGACATGTCTCTCACCCTGTCAAACAGTGCGAACAGCTCCTCGAGGGCCGGGTTGACAGGTAGCTTCAGGAAGGAGGCAAACTCCTCGATGTTTATCCGTCCTCCTTTACAAGAAGTGGCCATGGACGCAAAGCCCTCCAGCTCCTTCTTCACGATGTCCCACTTCAGGCTGAGGGAGCAGGGCACAGAGAGGAGGTTGTTATGTAGGTCATGTTTTACCTTTTATATAATTGCTCTCCAGTTACACGGTTCAATCACATGCTCAAAACAAATAGTTTTTGTCCCTGTCTGGCGATGCCCACTTAAGTGAGATGTTCTTACTTGAGTTTACGGCTAATTTTGGTGAACTCAACCAGGCCGGCCTCCATGGGCAGCGTTAGCTCACCGGCTGAGATCATCAGGCGGCAGTCTTCATACGTGTGGTCGGTCACTGGAACTCCCAGAGCCCTGAAAGCAGACGGTGGTCAGCGTAATGTTTGTGATGCTTGTAAAGAGCTGTAAACTAACAGAGGGATATGCAAAGCTTATACAGATAAGAGGAATGCAATAACTCATTATACACTTATATTAGTCAAATTAAAATGGTGGCCATCATATTAAAACTCCACCACTTACTTGATAATGTTCTGCATTGCTTTTATAAACATATATCAGTTTGTGTATCTCTTGCTTTATATTTTCTTCCAAAATACAAGTACAATCAAAAGACATGAAATTAAACACTCCCATGAAGCTATAGCTGAAGCCCAGACACTAAACAGAAAGTATTTACAATATATCTTACTAACGCATCTAGAATTGGAGAAATGATATGTATATTACAGACACATTTACAATCCAATCCAATCTATTTATATAGCACATTTACCGAAGAGCTTCACAGCAAAGATAACATTATAAAAAAATATAATATTACACTAATAGATAAAAGGCACACATAAAAATAGATAAAAGGCAAACATAAGAATAAAAGGTACACAAAGGCTATGGACAGACAATAAAAGCATAAAAATCGATAAAACAGCTCAAACTGACTCGAAAGCGAGGGAAAAGAGGTGGGTCTTCAGACGGGACTTAAAAGTTTGGAGGGTGAGCGAGAATTTGACATGGGGGGGGCAGGTCGTTCCAGAGCCTGGGGGCTACCGCTGAGAAGGCTCGGTCTCCCCTGGTCTTTTTCTTGGTTTTAGGGACTACCAGCCGCAGCTGATCAGCCGACCCCTCAAAGCCCTTGAGGGGGTGTACACCTTTAGGAGGTCGGAGATGTACTGAGGGGCCAGCCCATTAAGCGATTTAAAAACAAACAAGACAATCTTAAAATGAACTCTAAAATGGACAGGAAGCCAGTGGAGGGAAGCCAGAATGGGTGTGATGTGCTCATGCTTGCGTGTTCCTGTAAGCAGCCGAGCCGCAGCGTTTTGTACCAGCTGCAGGCGTGCCAGCGAGGTCTTGTTTAGGCCGGCATAAAGTGCATTACAGTCATCTAGACGCGTAGAAACAAAGGCATGAATAACACGCTCAAAGTCTAAAAAGGATAAAACCGGTTTAATTTTGGACAGGAGCCTCAAGTGATAAAACAAGCTACACCTAACAGTGACCAGATACCTTAAAAACTAAAATAATCTAGCCCTCAGTTGCATCAGTCATGAAGTATTAGTTTAAAATTGGTATCAATAATACAAACAGGGTTTCCGCTAGGATTTTTTCTTGCCGGTCAAATGTCCGGGCAGAATTTATTTTACCGGACACATTTGAAAATTACCGGTCATATTTCAATAATAATAATAAGAGTTGTGTAGCAGAGTTTCCGTTAGCAGGTAATTACCGGACTATGAGCAGATATGCTTCAGTTTAAAACTCAGTTCACGGGGCTCATTTTTATATTGCTTCAGTTTATAATCGTAACAGATCGAAAAATTCAGATTCATTTTTCAATAAATTATTCCACAAACAACATAATTATTACATTCAAACAAACTACTTGTAGTAGATAACGTACATTATTCAAAAGTTTACATTAACTTTGAATAATAACACGGGAGAAACGGATCCTCTCTTTTCCCCTCTCCCTCCCTCTCTCTCCTGACAGCCCGTCAGTTTCTCATGCAGCTCCTGCAGCTCGCTAAACAGTGGGCGGGGCTTCAGGTGATTATGCAGAGCTGCGTGTCTCTGTCTAACTCAGCAGCTGATCTGATATCTCTCGCGTGTCCGGTTATACTTCACTCGCGTTTATGTCCATATCGATCAGATCCAGCTCTCCTGATCGGCCTTTATAGAGAGCACCGATCAAACTATTAAGAGTGAATATCGGCCGATAATGACCGGCGGCCGATCTATCGGAGCCTCCCTAATTATTACCAGACATTTTGACCGGCAGGTTTTGAATTTACCGGTTTTTAATAAATTTTACCAGCTAAAAACCGGTAATTACCGGCTAACGGAAACCCTGAAACAGACGTATGATAAGAGGAAAAATAATGGTACAAATTCACGTTTGTTATCCTTTATAAGATGCCTCTTCCTAGTTTGAAACAGTATGTAGGCAAGGGGGGGAAAAGTGTTGTTAAGGTCACACAGTCTTATATTTTGTGCTTGAGCAACACACAGTGGAATTCGCATTTCAGACCAAATAACACTTACTGGGCCATTTTGTCTCGCACTCTGCTAGCAAACAGAGGAGGGCATTTCTTTTCCTCCTCTGTGGGGATATGTGTCGGCAGGAACTTAAAAAAAAAGAACGAACAGACAAAAAAGGTCACAGGGAAGGTCAAGCAGAAAACTCCTAAACCTTTGAATGAAAGCCAAATCTAAAAACACATATTGTGCTTACTTTGATGTAGTATATAAATCACAGCATAGAGATTAAGGTCACATACTTGTATAGTACATTCAATGACAGAGATAACCTGAGTCTACCAGTAAATAACAAGACTACAATATTACATAATATCATTCTTAATTTACAGATTTTTTCAATATTAAAAAGGACCCAAAAGAGCATGTAGTTTATTATACTTATACAAAATTAGATGTATATTAGGATGCAATGTTTGTTACCTCTATCTCTACTGTGGTGTACAGCTGGCTCAGAGTTAGCAGCAGCAGCGTTTTCCTGCATGACACAAGCAGGACAGTTGGTTACAGTGGTAGCAATACAAAGCAATAGTGTTTGTTACTGAGTTAGAATGGTGTGTTTTGTCTAGAGTACTGGCATGCACCACTTTCAGGAAACATGCATACTATAGGTGAAACATGAGAAACTGTAGAAAGCACACTCACGAGCTGAAACCCTGCCAAGTCCAAGACACTGTGTCCTGCAGGGAAACATACATAAAGCTTCATTAAACATTGACACTGAAAAACAATGGTATACATGATGTTGTGTGGTACAGCTGAGCTTATAGTGTAGGTAAACATTAAGAGATTATGTCAACAAAGTTACCTCAAGTATGTGCAAATTCAGCTGACTGCTTACAATCCATGTACAATTGCTTGAATGGACATAAACTGACTATTAATAATGTGAGTGTGTGAACTGCACCCCAACAGGAAGCATTTTCTCTTTGGCTCTGCCTTTATATAATTATCTTCCAACTACCCTCTTTGCAAATGATTACATTGTTGCTATGAATTTGGCTCGGAAAATCTAAGGTTGAATATATAATCGCTGTTTTACAATCACTTACCAGTTTGTTGGGATATCTCATAACCACAGGCTGCACAGGGACCCCTGGGATAAAGGCACCTGAAGGTGGGGAACACACAGTGTGGATGAATTAATGGAGGCTTCTCATTATGACTCAATGAAAGCTGAATCGTAGTCATAAGCACAGTTGTATGGGTATCAGTCAATACACAAACCACGTTGTATCGTGAATGAATGGAGCAGAGTAGTATCAAGTGTCATTTCTGTTAGTCGGCTCAGTGTCGTGCAATTCAAGCTAAAATGCTACATGTGCTAAAGGCTACAAAAGGATCTAGTTTGCTTTATTCAAGATTCAAGGCTTTTATTGTCATTTGATACAGTGTAGTTATGTCAATGAAAATCTTCCGTCACAGGCTCCTCCAACAGTGCAACACAATAAAACAGATAAAATAGTGCAAGTAAATACAAATACAATTGAATATAATAGAAATAGTGCAAGAATAGTCTATAAGTAATTGAAATATGATTTATTAGAACAATTGTTTTTTTGTTTTAAGTTGCAAACAGATGAATGTTATGGATGTTCTTTCAAAAGTGCAGGTGCTTAGCAGTCTTTATGTTGCATTTGCAAATGTTTCACCAAGTCAGGTCAGATAGGAATTGTATTGTTTACTCAGTCTGATCAAAATGTTCTTGTAACGTGTTTGGATACAAAAGAAAACAATGATATTTTGATTACATGGCATTACAGTACATGTATATCTTACCTTGTTTGAAAGTGATGAGACAGGAGCGATTTGTACAGGTTCCCTCTGGAAATATCAGAACCTGAGGGACACAGCATAAGTTAATGTTAAGATCTTAAAGTTTTATCAAGTTTTCAATGTAATGCTGCTGCAGATTTCAAAGGATGCTTTTGAAATAACAGTATTTATTTGTATCTACTTTGTCTATCTCTCGTGTACAGTTTCAAAAGAAACATAGTTATCCTGTGGCGCTGCTCTTCGACGACGAGCTTAGAGTTGTCTCTTCAGCTATAATAAATGATTATACCAAATGAATATTAGAGGATGTTTTGTGTTGGTACAGACCTGTGGCCAGTGTCCCAATGACTTGGCTCTGCTCTCGATTTCCTGGATTGTATTCTTCCTGGAGTCGGGGTCCTTCCTGGACACAAGCACCGGCTGAAGACAGCGCACGAACCCTGCAGAGAGAGCCACACACACACACACACACACACACACACACACACACACACACACACACACACACACACACACACACACACACACACACACACACACACACACACACACACACACACACACACACCACACACACACACACACACACACACACACACACACACACACACACACACACACACACACACAGCACACACACACACACACACACACACACACACACACACACACCACACACACACACACCACACACACACACACACACACACACACACACACACACCAACACACACACACACACACACACACACACACACACACACACACACACACACACACACACACACACACACACACACACACACACACACACACACACACACACACACACACACACACTTAACAGAGGAAAATACTATTTTTTTGTCCTATTCTTCTCTGATTGTTAAATGTCCAGAACTTGGTTAATTGCATGGCTTTATTAGCTCATAATAGCCATTAAATGGTAAACGACTGATGTTTTCACTATTATGTGTCAATTCAATTAAACAAACTCAGAGGTTTCTTTTTCAGAAACAAGTCCTGTTTCTCGCTTGAGGCCAGGAAAAGTGTGACCTTCTTACCTGTGCTGGACTATGGTGATTTGTTGTGAATGCACCTGCCTATTGCCTGAACAAGTTAGATGCCGCCTATCACAGCGCATTGAGATTTGTCCAAATTGTAAAGCACTTACACATCACTGTACCCTGTATGCCAAGGCAGGTCTGCCATCACTTACTGTACGGAGGCTCAGTCATTGGTACACGTTTATTTATAAAGCTTTGTTGGGTAAACTCCCGTATTATATCTGCTCTCTGATCACACAGAGAGTTGCAAGCAGCTATTGTCTGAGATCGCATGATGTAGTATTGTTAGATGTGCCAAGAGCAAGGACTGTCTTAGGTAAGACAGCTTTTATGTGCGCAGCTCCACTTGCTTGGAACAATCTTCAGCAAGAATTGAAACTGAGCAATCTCATTCCTCTGCATGTCTTTAAAGCTAGGCTAAATGAAATGCTCGTTGATACTATGGGCACTTGTAAATGTCTATAACTATGTAAATGTATCCTGTAAATATAATGTATGATGTCCTTTATTGTTTTATGTTTCATGTGGAACCTATATGCTGCAGGTCTCCCTTGAAAAAGAGATCTATGATCTCAATGGGACCAATCTGATTAAATAAAGGTTTGAAATGAACTGAAATGAGAGTTGTCACTACTCTCAAAAACATCAATGTAATATTTAAAAAGTGCATTCTCGCCTTACAAAACACATAAGTAAATAATAGATAATATCTGATTGACAAGGATATGTTCCAATGGGATTTTTAAACTGAAAGGTATCCAATATATTATAATATAAGAACGTTGCATTGCATATGTAACAAAGCCTTCTGCAGTCAGATGTCTACAAGCGGTTTCACACTTCTGTATTTGTCACGTATTTTGACAAGTTCACACCTTAGACTGTTTATTTAAAGGTTCACACCCAGCCTTTCCTGTACCAAATCAGCAAATCACATGATAATCATCTTACTGCCAAAGATGGGTGTAGCCAGGTTCTCCACTCGTGAGACGGTGGAGGGCAGGCCTGCAACGATGCACACTATCCCATCGAAAAAGGTGGAGTGGGGGGCTACAGCCAGGATGGGGGCCTCACTGCTGTCCACCTGCCTGCCCTTGATCACCACTCTGAAGCCCATGCAGAAGTAGTATGCCCTCCCCAGGGCGGCCATCACTCGCCGACACATGATCCTGGAGATGAACAGAACATTTTTTATTATTTCATTTAAAGGTCCCCTGTTATACTGTTTTTCATCAATATATTATAGGTCTCAGATATATACAAAACATGGCTCCAAACACCAAACAGATCATTGCAGCATTACCCATAATCCCCTCTGTTTCAGCCCTGTTTCAAAAGTGCTGATTCTCTGTCTGTTACTTTAGATGAAAATAAGGAGCCCCTCCCCACGCCCCTCTGAGAGAGATTTGGTTACAAAGAACTCAATGGTGCTCTAGGAGATTCAGGTGATAAGGTGGGGGGAGGGCGGGGTTACCTTGGTTGCTGATTGGCTAATGACACAAGACAAAACATCGTGATGACATCATAAAGTGGCCAAAATCTGATCAGCTCATTTTCAGACAGGTTTTTATAGAAATGGATCAAAAAGAGAGAGAATCTTTGTTCCTGAAACTTTCAGAATCTCTTTACACAGAGGGGACACATGGTGATGTAGAAGAGACATGAAGAAGAGGGGACACATGTTGATGTAGAAGAGACATGAAGAAGAGGGGACACATGTTGATGTAGAAGAGACATGGAGAAGAGGGGACACATGTTGATATAGAAGAGACATGAAGAAGAGGGGACACATGTTGATGTAGAAGAGACATGAAGAAGAGGGGACACATGTTGATGTAGAAGAGACATGAAGAAGAGGGGACACATGTTGATGTAGAAGAGACATGAAGAAGAGGGGACACATGTTGATGTATAAAAGACATGAAGAAGAGGGGACACATGTTGATGTAGAAGAGACATGAAGAAGAGGGGACACATGTTGATGTAGAAGAGACATGAAGAAGAGGGGACACATGTTGATGTAGAAGAGACATGAAGAAGAGGGGACACATGTTGATGTAGAAGAGACATGAAGAAGAGGGGACACATGTTGATGTAGAAGAGACATGGAGAAGAGGGGACACATGTTGATGTAGAAGAGACATGAAGAAGAGGGGACACATGTTGATGTAGAAGAGACATGAAGAAGAGGGGACCACATGTTGATGTAGAAGAGACATGAAGAAGAGGGGACACATGTTGATGTAGAAGAGACATGAAGAAGAGGGGACACATGTTGATGTAGAAGAGACATGAAGAAGAGGGGACACATGTTGATGTAGAAGAGACATGAAGAAGAGGGGACAGATGTTGATGTAGAAGAGACATGAAGAAGAGGGGACACATGTTGATATAGAAGAGACATGAAGAAGAGGGGACACATGTTGATGTAGAAGAGACATGAAGAAGAGGGGACACATGTTGATGTAGAAGAGACATGAAGAAGAGGGGACACATGTTGATGTAGAAGAGACATGAAGAAGAGGGGACACATGTTGATGTGTAAAAGACATGAAAAGGTGGATTTTTGCTTAATAGTTGACCTTCAAGGAATGATAAATGTGTAGCTCAAAAGGCACTACTTTGTTCCACACTGGGATCAGCCATGTTACATTGTTTCTGTGTTAATCATTATCACTTCCAGGGTTACTGTGTCACAGGGGGCAAAATGTCAGTTTCTTTGTTAACAAGATGCCTGAGCACAAGAGTTGTAATAACAGGAAGAGTTGCAACACTTTGTACTTCTCTTGCTGAGAGTCTTAGCATCTATCAGTAACTTCCTCATTATCTAGAGAAAGGATATTAAGTCATAGGATCAATTGACATCATAAGACAAAATGACAAATGGTGAACTGTAACTTTTAAAACGTTTTCCAAGAGTATACAAACCCATGACTTTTAAAAAGCTGCTCATTGGTGTAGGAAGCTCAACGCAATGCAGATTTCAGAGTAGAAAGCTTCCCATTAGCACATTGACGTCCTATCAGCTGATTAAATTATAATGGTTACATATGCAGAAAGCTTAGAGCAACAAAGAGCGGTGCAGGCTCTTATATGATTCAAGGAACAAACCATTAAAACATCAATTATTTGAACTTTCTAAGTTATCATTCAAAAAACAAATACTGATTCAAATAGTTACATTTGAGTATTTAGTCACTGTTTCCTTTCAGCGTAAAACATAAGCTTCAGTGTTTACCTCCCAACCCCCCGAGGAATATGGTAACAGTTAAGCAATAAGTAGGTGAGGAAGATAAGCTTCTTTCTTGTTTACGCCACCAACACCATGTTTGGTCATAATCACAGAAAAAGCCTTAGTCTAAGGCCACAAGAATGTCCCTGTTAGAACGGCCCACTGTGTATACAACAGCTGCTATCTGCACAAGTGAAACGTTTAAAATCTCCCACCCTGTTTTGTACTCAGAGGTACAAATCTACAGTCTTACAACTAACCCAATCCAATATTTTACAAATGTATTTATCAATACAGAACTATGGTATTCTCCGCACAGAAGAATATATTGAGATACCGTCTTAAAAAAGAATGGAGATCAACGATCTAACTGGAAGATCAGTTTAATTAATCCACCCAATAATAATAACCATGGTGGTTTATGTTCATAAAGAGATAAATTACTCTTTCAGGTGCTTTTATTAAGCCTCACCAATACCACTGGTTCTTTATTTTCTGAGAGCTGAGGGAAACCGAGTACTGCTTGTGGTGCAGATGTGATCAACTCAAACATGATTCGGCGATAATGCCAGCTGCTACACGTTCTTCCAGTCACGTCAGGAACTATTATTTTGAGAATATGCTGCAGCGCTGTGTTTCCTGTCCAGTTTATGAACCCAGCAAACACAATGCTTCTGCTACCTCTTGCTTTAGTGAAATGCACTGAACATGGCGGCTCACAGGCTATAGAAAAAAGTAAGTGTTAGTGGCCCTCTAACGTAATGTAAGCCTGAAGTATTCGGTTCTTGATTACAGTTTTTTGGTGCCAAATAAGAACTAGTTATTCGGGTCCAAGAACCGGCCCTGCTGCAGTGTAAACAGGAATAACTGGTTCACATCAGGCACTTGCTCCGAACTGGCCCTGGAACCGGTTTGGTCGGAATGGGGTATCAGTGTGGGGGAAGTGTCATTTATAATAATGGCTGCAAGGTTTGACTATGTATTTGCTTTGCATGATACAGCACAGGTAAGTAAAGCCGGACACTATAGCACAGGTAACTGTTCACGCATTAGGCCACGCTCAATTTACTTTAGTAACTATGTGAATAAAAAGAAACATTGTGTACGTAAACAAAACACTGGTTTGCAATTCATATGTTTTTAGATGATTGAGTGAGTCTGATATGCACAAGGCCATATATCATCATGCCAGCCTGGTGAGTGTGAAGGTGCCTGTGAGGTGTGTAGCTCTGTGGGAAGCTGTGTTACAGTCTGATGCTGTTTGTCCTAGTTACCGTCTCCATCCTGTCATTGGTTCGGCTCCTTTCACAGGATGGTTGAAGGTTATTAAGAAAGCCACTGGCCATGTCACCATCAGAACCAGGGACACAAGGACAGCGCGAATAGGGACCAGGAAGATCCCCAGGAGGACACACTGCATGGAGAGGGGCACATGCATACACACAATAAATCACAGGCCATACCATAATCAGAGAAGACTGCTGCCAGGGTGGTTAACCACCCTATGGCTGTTTACATTTTTCACAGACGTATGCCTATGCACGAGTCCAGAATCCACATCACTGCATGGATTTCTAGAAAACACACAACGGCTCTCATTGTTTGTGCTTTACAAGCCGATTGTCAAAGCCTCATTGGAGAAGATTACAGGCCCTGGTTGCACAGCAGCCTGTGTGTGTGTGTAATCTCACACAGCAATGTGTGTGTTAGCCGTATAGCGATGACTATATTCTAACAAATCTTGCCTTAACATGACCATTGATCTGAAACCACATACTCACTTTAATGATAGCTGCTTTGGAGAGTTTGGTGTCTTGCACGAACGGGTTGATGACCGCAGGCAGCAGCAGGGACTGTTGCCTCGGCAGGGTGAAGACTCGCAGCGGCGGCATTGCAATCCAGAGAGCGAAGAAATAGGCAAATGCTTTAGTCGAGGCGCCGTTATGTTATCATTTCACTTCCTCATCGGAGTGTTTGCTCTCACATTTCTCCTCATATCAGACGATCCTACGGGCGACCGCGACCGCAGAGCAGCGGAACCAGACGGTCTCAGGCTCCGCCTCCAACGTGGTCGCAGCGGGGTCCGAGTCCCATCGAGTGTGTTTTTAAAGCCTGCAAGCGGATTTGCATCCATTTATACAATCTGTGAAGCCTTATTATGGTGTGTGCAGGATGCTGTTAATGCATTTGACGTATTTATAAACCTGTATCACAATTCCCATGCTGCATAAAGACAACATGGTGTGCTGTCAGTCCCCATGCATGTGCTTTGTGCAACCGATTATGAATCAGATATGTATTTTTTTATCAGTATGTGCATAACATGTCCAACAATATATAAAAAAAGTATTTCAAATCAGTGAAATGGCGCCGATTTTAAAGGGAAAATGTGACATATAAACATTTTTGTTTACAAGATCTTATAAATGTCCACAAGATGGCGCAGTTTTATAAACGAATGTGTTTTGTTCGACCATAATGAAAGACCTGTATGAAATGAAAAGTTGCCTTTTTACCAGACGCGTCATTTTCGGCACTTTTTGAAATGGACAATTTTGTCCCCACTACTTTTCAAAAGTATAACTTATAAATGTTCTGAAAAATAGCGTGCTCAGAGAAATGTAATAAACAATAACACTGGTTTAGTTTCAAGATGTGCTATTTGGACATGTTATTAATAGAAAATGCACAATATAAAACATTGCTCCCACTTTACAACAGCAGGGTGCAGGCATAACACATTAATGTAAACTAAAAATAATTCCTCCTTACTCAACTGACTCTAAAATGTTATTTGTTTTGTTGCAATACATTTAATAATGCAATATTTCTTCAAGTTTTGTTTTTTTAAAAGTAATGCATTTAATTCTTGTTTTTATCACTTCATTTCTGTAGTTTTAGTGAAACATTTATTTTCATATAAAATGTCTTTATATATTTTAAGTTAGTTTTTATGATTGTATTATGAATTATATTATTATTTTTATTTTGTTGGATTTCATTATCATTTTAATTTATTTGATTATTTTAATTATGATTTAATTAATATTATTTCAAGTAAAAATGTCCACGCCCCTCGGAGGTGTTGGGGGCGTATCCCTCAGGCTGGCCAGCCCGGCAGCCCCTCCTCACCGAACGAATATTACATATCTTTCGTGTCCCTTCTGATGTGTTGGGGGGCGTCTCTCTAAGGCTTTTTTTGTAATGTTTTTTTGTTTTGGTTATTATTATTATTTTACATATTATTATAATTTTTTGTATTTATTCAATTTGTTTATACTATTCATTGTATTGTTTTCATAATTCTTTATTATTATTATTTTTAATGTATTTAGTAGATTTTTACTTTCTCTTTTTGTAATAACATTTAGTTGTATTGTGTTTTAGTTGAATGCTTCCTTATACTTCCAATTCACTAACTTGTACTTGGTAATGTTTTACTTTTTACTCCACTTTTATTTTTCAAATGTTGATCAAAACTGGATTAGCTCATAAATAAGATGTTAAGTTTGTGGCAATACATAGTTTAGTATACTTATATATAGAGAGATACTATTGTATACTGTATATTACTTTGTGATAATGATTATTATGTAGGACCTACTTTCACTTATATTTGAATACAGGACCTCTACTTGCAAGAATATACTTAACAGTTTGGTATTGCTACTTGGTCTCAATACAATGTCCTGGATACTTCTTTCACCACAGGTATTTGGTTGCTGAAATCACATGCTTTTAAAATGTGTAGGCTCATAATGGCATAAATAACCCACTTTAATTTTCTTCGCAAGTATAGGATGTTGTTCCTTTGTTTATCACTGATCCACATTATATTGACCATCTTTATTGATGACAGTAACAAAGTGCACAAGCATAACAACAACACAAAACACAACGGTATTTTTAAAACCCAAGAGAAAAACAGAATATAAAAAAATAGATGGTAACACTTTATTTTGATAGTCCATATTTAACACTCTCATCAGTTGACATTTAGTAGCATGTCAACAGCGTATTAACCAATATTCAACCTTACTATCTGTATATTGTGTCAACATCTTCAAAATGGACAATCAACTACTCAAAATCAATCTGTCAGTTGAAAGTCAACAGGGTCATGTTGACTATCTGTTGATAATCTGTTGAGTCAAGATGTCAACTAAAGATTACATTAAGCATTAGTTGGTGATCAACAGATAAGCAACTTTAGAGTTTAGTTGACTATCTGTTGATCGTCAACTAATCTAGAGTTGACTATCAGTATACTTTTAGTAGGCATTCTCCACTAAGCGTTTGTAGGCATGTGTTAGGACTATCCAATTAAAGTGAAAAACAGTTGAGAACAGTAGAAAGTCTATAACCTATCAACAGAACACATTCATCCACTAATGATATGCAACAGACATGGGAATACAGCGAGATGTTTGGCACAACTGATCACAAACTTTATGTATTCATTATGTATGTAATGTTTGAGTTATAAACACCTGTTCCTGTTTTATTTGACTAATATATAAGATAAATACAGAAGCCTAATGCATTCACTTGAGAAAAAAAGGTTTTTCACAAGAACTCACAATCTACAGATAGTAAGGTTGAATATCGGTTAATAACCTGTTGCAAAAAACCTGTTGACAGTCAACACACACTTTTTGTAAAATCTGATCAACACTTGAGATGTACCTTATATTCTACTGGCAGTTAGTTAAATGCATGTTACTTGTCTGTTGAAACAGTGTTGTTGAATGTCAACTGATGACTTGTAGAGTGTTAACTATGGACTATCAAAATAAAGTGTTACCAAAGAGATTATTAAACAATACTACTCAGTACTTGTCATGATTCCATCATGCAGCGAACTAATACAGACTCTACGGGCATCCTGTGCCCTTAATCTCCCTGTACCATTAGTGTAGGGAAATGCGGTTGAGCAGTCCCTTTACAGTCCTATACAAAGTGCTAACCAAATGGAGAATAATGTGTGCCTGTGAATACGACTTTCTGACATCCAGAGAATGCTAAGTAGTCAGACATAAGCACAGAGAATATAAAATGTATATATATAGGACTATATGCAAAAAACTATCTCTAAAGCACCATCTTCGGTCAAACACATTGTGCAAATTCATTTTTTTTCAAATGTATTAAACAACAATGAGAAAATCAAATAAAAGTCATACATTTATAAAACTGCACTTAGTAAACTGGACATAGTAAAAGTGATTCAAAGCCAACATCAATTCTTCATATGGGGTCAAACAGCGTTCCAGAATTACATTTGCATAACAACGGCAATATCTCACAGCACAGTATAGCACTGCGTTCAAGGCAGTGTTGACATACCTGATGTCGGAGTTTTTAAAAAACAAATACAAAAGCTATAAAACAATCAAATGGGGAGTACATATTGTAATAAATCTGCATCAGCATATAAAACAAAATGTCAACATCAAACAGTATTATATCCAGTTGCATATGTTGCCTGTGCAGAAGGTCCCGAGGTGCCTGTCTACAAAGCAGGAGGCTGGTTATACAGGCTGGAAGGGGCATGTCTCCCACAGAAGCGTGCAGAGTTGCCAGAATAAAAACGTGTGCACTGCGGCCACCTCAAGTTGTGTGCGTTATTATGGCAATGTCCTTATGAGGCCAGATGTCATTACATGATTTAACTAGTTGTGAGACTCTTTGGAAAATGCTCAACAGCCGAGCCAGTCCTTTGTGATTTCACCCAACTTGACGATCTTCAAGCTGCTGTCTTCCAGTTTGAAATAGTGGTTGCCTTTGAAGAAGTAGCTGTAATCTGTTTGAAACAAGCACAACGTTGTTTAAAAAACGCCTGTGTAAAACAAGGTCAAACTAACCATGTAGTAACAGCAACATAATCAAGCTTTAGCATAATCATATAAACCAACAGTCTAATTACATATAATCAAGGTTTAAAGCCTTACACTCTGTTAAAGTCAATGTTACGCCTCTCTCTCAGAATCATGCTAATGGGAGGCATACAGAGGCACCTCTGTAGAGCGGCACAGACTTGCTTTATAGTAATATGTTTGTTCACTATGTGGGGAAGGGGCTACCTGATGCTTACATTCATTTGTGTAAGTTGGGCTAGCAGTTACGGAAAAATCCTTGGTTTTCTGCCATAGTTAAAAATCTGCATATCACCTCTAACCTCAAGGATTCATGGTTGACTCCTAAAGGGAAGTTTAATAGTGATGTCATGACAAGAATTGACCACCATACATGTCTTGCATGCAAGTTGCAATGCCCTAAAGCTAACCATGATAATGTGTTTACTTACAGCTCATTAATGCATGAGAGATATACAAAAAACTGCTCTCCCCCACACTGTTTTCTATCAGGCCAAAGACGACTCCCTAACTTCAGAACTGCTCCCTTTTGTCCTGTTTTACTTTGTCAGCTCCCTGAAACTGTTCTTTTCTGGCTAGATAACATAATTGCTGAGTTGTGGTATATAAGGGGTTTGTATTGACAGAGGCATATTGCCAGAATGTTGATAGAGCTGACTGGATTTCCCTGCAATCTAACCACAAGGAATGCTAGTCTGAAAAGTGTAGATTAGCACCCAGAGCACCAGCTTTAATCAAAGCACCACAAACACCACAAATAATTGTTCCCCTTCGGTCTTCTTCAAAACTCAAACAGAGTTTCAGGCCGAGAATGCCATTTGTGTCTCAGTCTTTCTGAGAGAGATGTGTACTTTATTGTACAACATGTATACATGATGAGCATACCTTTGTGGTGTTCAGATTGTCACGAAACTATCTAATATATCATTCCAATAACTTGTATATAGACTCGTATTGCCCTATTACTATTGTATTACTTTTAATATAGTATATTTTAATATTGTCTGCTTCTCTGTATTATTGTGTTGCATTGTTGGAGAAGCCTGTGACCTAAGATTTTCAACGACATAATTACTCTGTAGCTATGTGAGTTTGACAATAAAGAACCTTGAACATTGAAGCTTGAAACGATATGGTTCATTTTCAGCCATGCTAGTGATATGGTCAGACTGGGCTTGAAACCAGTGCTGCTCGGAAGATACAGTTAGACATTTAAATGTATATGTATGGTGAACATAAGAAAATGGTTTCCAGTAATATTAAGTATGTAAACGACCATGCTTCAAAAACCTCAGTTACGGTTTTGGTCATGGATTCATAACACATGCTGCTAGCTTCTAGTCAAATGTCCCTTCATTAATTCATACCAAGCCTGTAGATTCACAAATGTTGGGATAATACATATTTTTTTTACCAATGCCATTAAGACTGAAGGAAGAGTCGATGTCATCTGGGAGACCATTCCAAGAATCAGCAATAAGTTTTGGGAAGCCAGCGTCCATTGTCTTTGTATCTTCATTGTATCTGTACCCAAAATGAGAGTGGATTAAAATTACACACAAACACACCACACACAGAGCTGTTTACAGAGCAGGTCACACAAATTGCTAACTACATCCAGACGTAAGTTTTGCAGCTAGAGATTATAACCACAACAGCTCAAGCTAGGGTGTGTCTGACAACGATTTGAGCCTAACACATTTTTAGATAATCTTTGCCCCTCCTCACCTCCAGAATTGGTCCCCAGCAAACATGTAAGTCTTCCTGTTCTTCCTGAAGTTGAAGACAGAGTCAATTTTCTCCAGGTCAGTGGGAAGTCCGAAGCTGGAGAGCCTCTTGGGATAGCCTGACTGCAGCGCGTCTGCTTTGTAGACCCACACCTCATTACCTGTGAGGGAAGAGTGAGTAAGTGAAAAGCAGAACCAGGGATACAATAACACTGAAGACATGTGTTTTATTAATCCAAGGTAAGTATGTTAAAACAGAACTGTGTGATCACGGTAGCATCCCATATTGCTGCAAATATATTAACCAAATGTATTATATCTTAGCATGAGATCATCATTTAGCCATGTAGGGTGTTATGCATCTTCTACAGACAAACCAGCCCTGCTGTTAATCTCCTCAAAGCTGATACATTGTAATGTTCATCAGTATTCAGGAAGGTTGTCATATTAATAAAATGCAAGGAATGTTTCATAAACCACTAATAACTATGGTCAAATATCTTAAGTGTTACAGGACTGCACACCACACTGAAGAGTGCTCAGGCAAAATTCCTGCTTCTCCTACAGTTTCAGTTTGTAGGAACAATACTGTAAAGGGAATCATAGCCTGTGACCTAAGATCTTCATTGTCATAACTACACTGTAATAAAAGCCTTGAAACTTGAACTCCTTGAAACTTTCTTGATTTCTCCAGCATACCTGCGAAGAACACTGTGTTTTCCTCCACTGGGTTTTCATATGCAGCGTCTATCTTGATAGGCAGGTCCGACCAGTAGGTGGCCACGAGCATCGGGCCGGTGGGTTTGCTTCTGAAGTTTACTGACCTGAACAGGAACCTGGCAGAAAGAGAATGAGTGGGTGAGCGGCTGTACGAGTGAGTGGAAGAAGGGCAGAGGGGGATGATGAGGAGGAGGTGGGGGGAGTGTGTGTATGTGTGTATGTGAGGAGTTTTTAGTGCAAGTGCAGCCACAATGGTCTGATTCATGAGCATCTGGTTCTCGTTAGGACTGAGGCTGCAGACGCCAGCGGAACAAGACCTATCTTGCCTGGATTTCCAATACACAGCTGCACAACAACGGCAGATTCCCAAAGCCTTTTCCACTGACCTATTTTTAAGAAAAATATCAGCCAATTCCCAAAAAATTGTGGTCAGAATTGGAAATGAGACACAACAGACACAACGTTTTGTAAACATTTGTCAAAAGGAAAGAGGCAACATATTTCAATCTGAACAAACCATCTTCAAATTGCATTATTTTAACAGTGTTCTTGTAGATCGGTGTATCAACAATATCCAGAGGGCTTTTCTGTCTCTTCTTCCTTTCTTTATTACATTTTAAATAAAAAAAATAAACAAACATCCTGCCTGATGGATGGTTAAAAGGATACACTCACAGGATATAGCCAAGTTGAAGTTAAAGTACCGCACATCAGTTTTCCAAACCATTGCTGAGACTTCGAAATTCAAGTCATCCATTTATCCTGCATTTGTTGTAATCAAAGCAATGTCATACTTGTTGATTACTTGCATTACGATAGAACCATATTGTTACTCTTACAGGAATGTCATCAGCCACGACTTTAACAGGTTTCATATCCCACACAAGTTTGACTTCTGGAAAGTTTAGGTAATGTGATTTCCCATAACTCTAAAACTTGCTAGCTGCTGTTGGGCAACAGATTCAGTGGAAAAGCCAACTGGCAGTTAAGAGGATTGTTCTCTCTATGAACTCGCCTGCTTTAAAGTTACAATTCTTAAGATTGTCCTGAAATCAAAAAAAATGTTATACTATTTATTGACAGCATTTATTTTACCATAACCCTTCAATATGTCTACATTCACGAGCATATGGTGTCATTAGTATTGGCCTCCATTCCCAAGCTGGATTCATCTATATAACCAACATAGCATGAGGGAGTTACAGGTCATTGTGTAAGGGAGTGCAATTCAATCTCTATATTATTGATGACATCCTCAATGTTCACTTGTTATATACTGTGAGCTGTTTTAGCTACTGCTAATGCAAACATAGCGTGTCCTATTGCCATTGCTTTACATTAAGAGCGTTCAAACATGAGTATTTCTAGCAGCCACTAGAAACCCAATGTGTTGCTAACAATGGTTAGTGCTGACCGTGATTTTAAATCATTGTTAAAAATGCAATGGTCACAGTCTTTTTCTGCACTCTGCAGTCAGGGGATGATTGTACATGTTTGAAAGGGAGAAATGGAAAAAGAAGAAGCAGCCACAGTGAGCTGTTAAATGAACAGCTGCAGGCTACACACTGCTCACTCCTCAGCATGTAAACCAGCTCTACAGTACTGTGCTCTGCTGTTGTGTGGAAAGCTACTTGCAATGTCAAATCTGATTAGCGATTGTCATTATTTTGGATTGACTTCTTTATCAAAACTATTTGACCGCAGTGGTGTCACCAAATTAACCAGGACTGAAATCTGAAGGGTTACAACTTAAAGAAAAGAATGGACACGCAGTAAATAGCTTCTGATGGCAACACGCTAGTTTATAAGCAAATAGCTGCTTCCTTGCAACAGACCTAGTCAGTAGGCTGGCCACACTGTTTCTATGCGTCTTTATAATAATTGCTTTCTCCTTAAGCCTCCAGACAGGCAGGCACAGTTTTATGCTGAGCTCAGGGAGTGCCATACATATTACCATTCAGTCATGTCAAGATTTGTCCTACTGTACATTATATGAATATGCTGATCCAGAAAGAAAATAGGGGGGATCAAAACTTCATTTTTAGAGAATCAAGTGAGCATTAGCCGTGGGGCACAGAGGGAAACTTTTTGTTTCTACAGCTATAAAATGTATCTAGTGTTAGAACTGTACAGCTCAAAAACCTGATATTGCCACCTACACTTGATATTCAAATATCAACTCAAGAATTGCTTGAACATATCACACAGCCGTGTATGGTTAAATAAGGGTGGACCAAACAGTCAGATGCTGATTTTGCACAACACAAATCATTTTGGGGTAAAGCAACTGTTAAAGGGGCACAACTATGCTTTTAGGCGTTTTACCTTTCACGTGCTGTGTTACATAGGTTTATGTGCATGTAAATGGTCTGCAAAGGCTCAAATCCCAAAGGGAATTTCCTTCCCGAACACTCCCCCCCCCCCACACCTGAAACGTCTCCATTGGACTTATTTGTTTACTTCCTTAACATTGTGACATCACTATGTGACACTTAAGCTTGTATTGGCTAGCGCTCCAACACATTGTACGTGATAGGCTAAGGGGCGGGACATCTCTAAGCTGTTGATCAATCACAACACAGCCAGCCAGCTAACCAATCAGAGCAGACTGGGCTCTGGTTTCAGACAGAGGGTGAAAAGAGATGCTGCAGCACAGGCAGTATGAGAAAAATAAAGACCTTTTAGAACAATAAAGCATGTAAACATGTCACAGGAGAGGGACAAAATACAAATATGAACCTGAAAATAAGCATTATATGTCCTAAATAAATCAACAAAAGTTAGAGTAAATGCCATGCATGACAACTTAGTAATTAGTCCGACAGTAGCTCAGTCAGTAGGGGTTGGACTGTGAGCCGTAGGGTTGCCGGTTCAAGTCCCCGACCAGACCTAAATATTGAGTGTGGACTGCTACTTGGAGAGGTCCCAGTTCACCTCCTGCCATGCCGTGGTGCCCTTGTGCAAGGCACCGGACATCCCCCTTCCCCCCTCACTCCCATTGCTCCCCGGGCGCTGTACAATAGCTGCTCCTAGTACTAGACTCCTGGCACTATGGGTTAAATGCAGAGAACACATGTCGCTGTGTGCTCTGCATGTGTGACTATTAAAGAGGGTTTCATCCCTCCTAATTCTTGACAAATTCCACCTAATGTACATGGCAGGTGAATTTGCCTTTCCTCACATGCTGCAAATGATTGCTCTGGATTATGATAGAAGTACATCTGTAGTGGTGAAGTGTCTTGACTCAAATAAAATATACAGACTATTAAAAATATCATAGCTTCAAAAGCACCTAATGCATTTTGGCATCCAATAATGATCAGAAACGGCCATGCCGAAGTTTGTCTGTGCATCCTCTGACGAGCACTGTTCATGTGTGTGTCAGAGAGCCACAGGAGGTGAAAAGTCAATCTGCATTGAAGCAGGATTTGTGAGCAGGAGTGTGGCTTTTTCTAACCCAAGGTTCTCAGAGAGGAAAACCCAGTAAACTGAATGACTACAATCTTTGGTACGGAGGTATGCTGGCCTGTTTGCTTTGGACACACTTATGGCCATGACAGGTATACAGCTCTGTTAATCATGAAAAACCCTAGGAATCGATGTTATAGCGCAGCTGGAAGCATTAACACATCATAACTGACAAGGTCACTGTTTGAGTTTTCTATAAATTCCTTTTCAACCACTTTGTTGCATTTGTTTTAAGTAACTTTTAGGAGCATTTATAAGTAGCTAAATTCAGCTGTTGTGATGTGAACATCCACTGACTCGCAAAGACTGTTGACGAATTAATATCACTTCTCTTCTATGCACGGTCAGCAAGTACACACAGTGAGCTTACAACACTTTACATTCCCTGGCGCCATTGGAGAGGACTGCCTGTAGACTGTGTTTATGAATAATGACTATTTTGGTTGGCATTGCCATCGAGAGGCAGTTTGTTTGTCCCTCCTATTAATTGTCATATCATGAAACAAGCATCTCATTCCCAATCTTTAAGTGGCACACATTTGCAATACGATAAACTATGATTAACAAGAAACCTCATGTCAAACTGCTCATTGTATGTGGGCAAATGTTGATCAAATCTGACTTGTGAAGGCTGCCTTATTTCACTTGCGAAATCATAAAGCCAGAAGTAGACTGTTGGGTTTTGTTTGTCTATCTTCCAATGGATCAAGGACAGGAAATGTAACCAGACTTTGGCAGTGCTTGCTAGATTCAAGAGAGTAAACCATGGACTTCATCATGTCTTCATGACCCAGAGAGCAAATAAAAGATAGCTAGCATAATCAAACAAGATGGGTAAGAACTTTGATTTTGTTATGGATTCATTGTCAGTGCTCTACCACATTTGGTCTTAATGTAGCATATGCTCAGTTGCTGACATCTCATTTAGGGCAATCAATACTGTGACCTTTTGTTTAATTGGATTACCTGTCCTTGAAGAAGAAGGTCTCTCCTCTGATTTGTGCTACAGCATCAAAGACAACTGGCTCTTTACAGATGTCCATTGGAGTGACTGGACCCTGGGTGGGAGACAAAGGCTTGTCTGTCGACGCACCTGTTTATAAGAGAGTTAACAAATTACAGTAATTCATCTTTCATCAAGGAGTGATTCACTGTACATAAGCCTTTCCTTGCTTCTTACAAGAAAGAAAACATACCCCAAGACCTCCGTGAGTCTGAGTCCCTCACCCTGTTCCAGTCCCGCCTCAAAACCCACCTCTTCAACTCTGTATATCCATAAGCCCCCCCTTTCAATCAACTTCCTCCTGACTGCTTTTTCTGTTTTGTTTTGTTGTTTTTGTTTGTTTTTGCCTGTCCTTGTTTGTCTACCCTCCCTCATAATGTAAAGCGTCTTTGGGTTCTAGAAAAGCGCTATAGAAATATCATTTTTTATTATTATTATACCGGTACTTGTATTGTTTTGTTCTAGGGTTAGGCTTGATCCCTGTGCAGGAAACTAGCCACAGATAACATTTCATCTCACCGTAAAGCTCCTGGATGCCGTTGATGTCATCATTAGAAAGTCTGAAGTCTTTAGTGTAAGTGTAGACGGGGGCCATCAATGCTCCGGGGTCCTGAGAGTGCTCCAAGCCAAGGGCATGACCAAACTCATGAGCGGCCACCAGGAACAAACTGTAGCCTGGGAACAAGCAGCACAAAGAGACAATGTTGACTGTCCTGTTCACAAAGCAATGATACTGTACAGTGGGAGTTGGTAATTAGATCATATGAAGAGGTGTTTCTGTGTTTAAATACGTTCTGCCGGGGCATGATGTTGGGACATATCAAAGTCAAAGTCAACTTTATTGTCAATCTTTCAGTTGTGTGTACAGACAGAGAGATCGAAATACCGTTTCTCACAAACCTGAATACAAAAACAAATATATATAAAAATATGTATGCAATTATGTAAATACCTATATATACACAATCAAAGACACATTTATACATATGCACACATTAAGACCTACATAAAAGCACAACAATCAAAATATACAACATAACACTCACTTCAATATCTTTGAGATTTTGAGAATTAGTGCAAGACTGTCCGTAGTAGCGTAAAAAGGCAGCCTTATGTTTCTTGAGAGTGCCAAAAGACTTAAGACTTAAGTTTTGAATTGAATCAAAACAATTCAGACTGACATAATAGAGCTGACCCCTACGAACTGTCCCAATGACTTTTCCTACCTTGGTCAGGACAGAAACCCCATTTGCGGTCATCATCGTAGCTCTTGGTGGAGGAGCACCACATCTTGCCATCACTGCGCCCAGATGAGGTACAGGCCTCATAGGTGTCACCCAAGAAAGTGAAAGGGAAGATGCAGGGGCTTCCCTCTGAATTTCCTCCAACAGTGGACATGGCTAGGGGGAGAAACAAAAGTGAACTGAAGAAGTAAAACGTGTAGTAAACTGAGTCAATTTATATGCCAGAATATATCCTCAAAACAGTTTGTATTGTGAAAAAGCACAGATGGTATTGAAAACAGCATCATGAAAGCACTGGCACAACACACATGACATCAATATCTAATCAACTGGGCCCAAAACCAACAAGCACCCGCCCAAATTGATTTTCTTTCAAAGAGAGATCGTTTTCAATCTGGCAAGACTGGTTGAGTGCAGTTTTTTTAATAATAATTTCTTATTCAGCACAAGGTAGCGCACGCAGCTTTACAACAAAGCAACTTTCCTAACCAATTAGTACCAGATGAAAGCTCCAGTGGTCGTATGTCTCTCCGTCTATCCCCCCATCCTACTTCACTACCTCAAAACTAAAGCCAGTCCCTCTGACAGAATGGAAAATAAGCCCTGCCACTGCACATTAAAATACTTTCACAGCCACTCAGCAGACCGCGAGCAAGACCGAAAACCCCAGCTTAAGCATTCCTGTAAACCAACACACGGCAGGGCACCATATACTGCACACCAAAGACAGTAAAACACACTGTATACAGCGAGCACATAACCCTTAAACAGGACTTCTGTTGTGACATTCCGGGAATGTTCAAAGTGGAAACTTCCCAAGGGAATTAACAGGTATAATATGGAAATATAGGGTTTTAGACCATTTTTTAAGGTTGTATTGTATGTTTGTAGAGAAATGACATGGTATTTATCCAAACAATAAGTGTCCATAATCCATTAATTAGCCCAAAAAACAATCATTTGTTTAATACATAGGCTAAAATGTAAAACATGCCAGCAAGCTAGCAAGTTGGGGAAAGGTAACATAAAGATTACAGACGACAATGTGGGCTTTTTGCAGACTTGTGGTTTAAAGTGGACAACAAATAAATGTTTTACCATTAAGTTTCAATGAAAATATATTCCCTAAAACCCCTCACTTAGCATGCTGATTCAAGCTACACAATAATGGTAACGGCTAGCTAGCAAACAACAAGCAAAAGTTGTTAACAAGTGACAAGAGTTGCATTTTAAAGTGTAGGTCTGTTTTCCCAAAATAGACTAAGTTAGCTTTTCAAAGGTAGCATTTTTATATTGAAATTGAGATAAATTCCTCTGATAAATTCCTCTGATTAACTTAACTTAATTAACCAGAAAATAAGAAAAAGACAATGCAGGCTATACAAAAGTACTACCACTCACCAGTCTCAGGGCAGAACCCGAAGGACGTGTCCACATCAAAGTTGTCAGTGGTGGCACACCAGCGGTAACCATCATCCCTGCCTTCAGTCGTGCATGAATCATACTTTTCTCCCTGAAAGATGAAGGGGAATTTACATGCAGCGCCCTCTGCGTTTCCAGCAATGGTGAATAGTACTGTGAAACAAACAAAGACAAAAGGTGTTATTTAGAAAATAATAAAAAATGTATTAAATGTGTTCAATGCTTACAAAGCATTTGCTCCAATTCCTACATGATCCCTACAATAAATCAGACCCTTTAACCCCTGGGTGATGATGTAAGACAATGTGTTCAAAGAAAAGGGGAAAGTTATATAAAAAAAGATGGAATGGGACTTTTTTACATAAAAGAAAAAAAGTGAAACAGACGGCTCCAGTACAAACAGGCCTAACTCGTGTTCTCAACTCGGTACATGTGTACTTTGGCGTTGTAATGGGCATGTAATCATGTTAGTACCATGGGCAGCAATACAACACAGATAAACAAAATGTTTAACAAAGCCCAGTGTTGTAAAGTGGGGCAGCGACTTGGAAAAGAGATATTCCATAATCCATTCCAAGCGAAAAACAACTCTTTCCTGGCATACTGCTCAACCTACTTTCTTTCTGTCCATAATCAGCAGAAAAGCTTTGAATAAAACAAAAATCTGGTTTGAAGTATTGCTTCGACAGTATAAAAGACACTGCTTCAATTTCAGCCTGGATGCAAGTAGGGGATGAAACCACTGAGGTCAAGTGGGGCCACAAAATAAATATATAAACACACTACAGCAAATGTGTTAGAAGGAAACAAGAAGAAATGGAAATACTTACGTTCATGAGGGCAGAAGCCATATTTGCCATCTTCTTCAAAGTTGTAAGTGGTGGAGCACCACAGGAAGCCGTCGTCTCGACCCTGAGCTGTGCAGGTTTTGTATTCAGTGCCCATGAACATGAAGGGGAATTTACAGAACTCCCCATCAGCATTGCCGAACTTCACCTTCACCACTGTTGAAAAGATTAAGGATCATATTGACATATTTTATTTTAACAAGTACTCTCCCTTACACAATACAAAAGCACTGATATGGTATACATGTATTGTAGTAAATTGGATAAAACTTCCCAAAGCACTGATAAAATAGGAAATGTCTCTGTGCCATGAGAATGGGAAAATAGGTTTATAGATTACTTCTGCAGAAATGATTAATTCAGCTGATAGGATTCTGGATAATGGGAAATGCATGAAACTATCTGGGTCAATATGTGCAAAAACAAATGCCTGCAAAGGGGATTTATTTTTCTATTCAGCTTCCAGATGGCTGAGGACTGAGGTTTGTCATATCTAGTGCCAGCAAGTTCAGGCAAAGTTAAGAACATTTAAACAAAAGTATTTGAAAGTCAAATGTATTATCAGAGTCATTTTTTGCGTAGGTATGCCCGGTAATCTCAACCTATACTTTGTGTCCAAAAAAAAGATTGAATATGGATTTGAAAAAACACTTACTTAGCAATATGTACACCAATCAATACAAATTATAAGAGGTTATACAATAAGCTTTTCTTTCCCCATTACCTTGGCCATCTCCCAGCGACCACTGCTCATCATCATCAAAGTGAGAGTCTCCGCCAATTCCTGGTCCCGGAGCAAAGGCATGAGCCAAGAGGCCGTCTTTGCCGTCGAAAGGGTAACCGTCTCCATGCTCTGTGGGTTACATTAGTCCATATCAACACGTCAAGACAAAAATCAGATGTAATTTGCTTCTTTTTAAACAGATGGAACCGCTTTGTAGAAATTAGCAAGGCAATACGTGTCAAGAGAATCTATTTTGAAGAGGAAATACTAAAAATAACATTTGGGGAGTATATTTCTTACACCATGCAACATTTGTGTGTGTGTGCATTAAATCAATAAAATATTCCTTGTTACTTTTCTTACCAAAAAACAACTTTCACATCTCCTGAAGTGGTTATTTCTTGTTTGTGTTTCACTATAATTGTCAGATTCCTTCTTGACACTGTCCCCTACGGCTGCCAGATTGATATTATGACACTGAAATGACTTGAGTGAAGAGGTGTTACTAAAATATAGGTTGGAGGTGTGCGGAGTCACTGTAATAACATGTATGTTATTGCTCCTTCAGCATACGCCAGTGAACTTTGGTTCAACTGTTTATCTTCTTGGAAGTGGAAAGCAACTTCATGGTGAAGGTCAGCTGGAACTCTTTACCCGTCCATATCATTATAAAGTCAATGTGAACTGTACCTGTGGCTATGTATGCAATGCATATATTATTATGTACACTTATTTGTATTTACTTTTGTTTGGCCTTAGGATGGTGATAATTGGATGACCATTTTAGTTTTCATTTCATACAGTGCTGTAAATTGCATGAAATTATGAGCTGTTTTGTTTTAATGTTGTTGTATGTTTATGTATGTTGTGTGTGTGAGGACCCCAGGAAGAATAGCCAATGCTCATGCTAGTGCTAATGGGGATCCTAATAAAGACATGCTAAGATCATTGAGTTTTAACCTGTAATACCGTGCCACATAAAGACAACTTAGTATGTAGGCAGGCATGGACTGATGTTCCCCGTATCCCAACAAAAGTGATCAAAACAGTTACTAAGATTAAGGTTTTTTTTAAAGTCACATGGAAACATTTCACTATAAAATAAACCTATTCTTAAAGGAATTTCAGTTGCAGATGATGGTGTTTAAAACAATATCTATACATGTTTTTTTGTCTTTATACATGGCATACCATTGCGGCCAAAATTAATCATGATGTCAGCCTCTCCGTCCATTAAGCGTTCGAATGTGAGTGGGGTGACGTCGCTCCACACTTTGAAGGCTCTGAAGAAAGCATCATTAATGACTCCCTCGTCCAGGTCGGGGCTGTATCCAAGGATTCTACAAAGTTCACAGAGTCAGAGTCAGATTCATTGAAAAGCAAGACAAACCAGGGAAACTAGGACAACATATACCATAAAAACAAGAAAATGTCTGTAATCGGGAAAGTGATGATGGCTTTGTATGTGTCATGTTAAGAAAAGCGTGTCGAATTATCTTTAAATCTATTTTGCCAACATCTGATCATGGAAAATAACTGGTAAAAACACCTGGTGAAAATGGATTATGAAACAGTTTTCAACCACAAACCCTGTTGTACAGTATGAACAACTACATCTAAGATCTCTAAGTTGCTGTTGACTTTGGCTCCCAGTCCTTCTCACAAACACACAAGCAGATGGGCTGGAATGAACAGGGACAGAGAAAACCGCTGATATAAATAAACCCATTCCACATTGTTGTACTGTAACCCTCAAACAGCACGAAAACAAAAGACCTGACACATACTGTGTAGGAATGCTGGTGTAAGCAAGACACAAGATGCAAGGGCGCAATTACTGTGTGGATGGAGGTGGGGTGGGCGGGGGGTCAGGCAGGGCCAAGCTGTGGTCCATCTCTCAAAACAAACAGACTCTGGCTTTGTTTTTATACTTTTGTTCACTCATCAAAAGCAGCTTTAGGAATTATGTTCAAACTGTAGGGATATTGAGTGACTCAGACATATTTCAAGTAGTTTCTCAATACTTACGGTTGGATTTACGGGAAGTAGTTGGGTGGGGTAAACTCATTTCAACTTTGGCAAACACTATACTATAATTATATTATAATGTACTGATGTGGTTTTACATGCAATGCATATCAAAAAACCTCGGCGAAGGTGTTATCTTATTGCCTTTCATGGGCCATACTGCTTAAAACTTCCATGATGTCATTTTTATGAGTATTACTAAGTTAGTTAGAATTAATTGGGACCCACTCCCATTATAAAACCCCCCTTGCAGGATGCAGTTTAGCTCTTAAAGTGCAATATAATCCAATGCTTGCTCAGTAAAGGTGTAGGTAAAGTTAATTCTCTGACCTGTAAGTAATGTCTTTTTTCTGCCACATGGGTTTCCTGTGGAAGAATTGGTAATTGGCCACATCTGGGACGCCACAGCGGGGCTTTTTCATGATATCCACAGTTTTGGGGTCAATCTCTCCAGTTTCTTGCAGAGAGAAGAACTTTTGCATTTTCTTCAGGGTGTCCTTGAGCACCATGAGGTTACATCTGTCTTGTGGGCATCCATAAAACTTATTCAGATAGTGCTTAAGGAGAAAAAAAGACAAACAAATGGTTAAACTCTTCTGAAATGGGCAAAGTATTCATATGAAATGATTGCAATACTTAAATGCAATATATATTACCCAGCACTTTACAGTTGACTGACCCAGTAAGTACGTTTTTGGAGAAAAAAAACAAGCAATAAACTTACCAGAGCAACTTCTTTGTCTGTTCTGGGAGTATCGTCTCCTGGAAACCTGATAATAGGCGAAGGGGCAGCATATGTTGATTGAAAAGCCATGAACTGAAACAAAAACACTTTGAGAACAATCCGACGACAGCTGAATATCATCGAAGAGCCCATTTTCACAAAAAAACAAGCTTTGGTAAAGGCCGTTCGCTCTGAGTTGCACTCCTTTCCCCCTTCAGCTTGTGTTGCTTCTGCTCCTCTGCAGGGCTTTTTTCTCCTCAACGGGACATCCTGCACCTCGGCTCTATGAACTTTCTCAGTTCTGCTTGCACATGCACTTTTCTCCCGAGAGCTTTCTGCGCACGCTCCAGGTTGAGAAATAGGAGCAATCAAACACAGGCATTATTTCACCATTACTCATGTGGGTGACTTATCACTCGGCGTCTTTAAAAAACACGAGTTAGATACTCTCTTGGAATTAAAAAGTATAGGCTATGCAATGTCCAGAAATGACACTTCATTGCTGTTGTGAGCCTACATACATCACGCCCCTTTTGAGAACTAAATGTTGCAGAAATTATTGGAAGTTATATTCCATCATGGTTGATGCAAATCATTTAACCGTAAACTACGTGCATTTTTTAACATAGGCCTATTGCTTGATTTAAATTCAACTAATATTTGGGCACAGGCTATGTTATTGCAGTTGGTTTGGTGAGTAACTTATATTGATTGCATTTATGATGTACTTATTTACATTTAAAATGACCTGTCAGTGTGTCTCTACTTCTTCAGTAGTAGAGACACACAGACGCCCGGCCAACGTTATGTAAAGGGTTACATTGACCTCTGGTGGCGAGATGTGAAAACTCACCTCAGGTTGAAAAGGCCTCAGTAAACCCACAAACCTGGTTATATTGATTGATCCTTCTCTCTTCTTTGGTTTTGTTCTGTTAAGTATCTGATAGATTTGAATGTTATCACTGTGTTATATGCTTTCTATGATGTGACATTAGTGTGAAGATCCTATCGTGAGAACTAAATGCAAATACTGTTATAACCACTATTTGTAATAAGTTACATTTGTAATTTCCATCTATTTTATTGCTGTTTCCCTGTACCTTACCGTACTCCAGGGATGTCATTATAAAACCATGCTGCAGACCACTGAATCATCACAGGCTGAATCTGAAATAAGTTCCTAATCATTTCCAGATATTCAGATCACAATGTAGTGACTCACACAGAAGCTGGAAAGAGTGGGTTGTTTAAGGTTGCAGCAGAGAGCCATCAGTATGACTGCCCTCCGGTGGCTGACATGCGCATTGCATCTCTGTTGTTATTTATTTATTTATTTTATTTATTTAGTTATGAGGTCCTTGGAGCCATTCCTCTTTACTGATTTGTAGTACGGTATAGATTAGGATTTACTTTAACTCTCTTTGTCATCTCTGTGTTTCCGCTTTCATGCTGGATTACTCAGAACAGCATATGAGAGGAGACTCTTTAATGGAGAAAGCTGAAGGACTTTTCTTTTCTTTTTTGCAAAGAGATCTGACAGATGGATAGCTCACAAACAGGATTTCGTGGTATATCTAGCAAAGCAATTTCCCTTCCCTTTAGCCAGAGTACAGTTAATTTTTCATAACCGGGGCTGCTGTTGGTGGTTGCAGAGTGAATTTAACATCCATTTTCTAACAATATCCAGTGCCTGTCACTTTGGAGCAGGAGCTTTATTTCATGCACTGATACATGCTGCCATCTCCTCTAACTGACACACTCTCAGTGATCTCTGGCAGAGCCGCGGAGCAGGATGGCTACCTATTAAATGTACATGGGCCTGCCTCTCCAAATAGAAAACGCTGAGATGTGAGAAGTTGAGCCACAGCTACAGTAATTGAATGCCTTTGTGCATATGAATGCAATTGTGGAGGCGAAAGTGGCATAAAGAGATTTAGATGATAAGGTTTGATTTGCATGTAAATTGTTTTCTTTTTTCTTCCCCCGTTGAATGCTTAAGCTTCGTCTAGATTGAAGCAGCACACAATGTGTGTGTGTGTGTGTTTTGATGAAATACTGTTGGCTTTTCTAAAAATGCATCTTGTTGCTGTTGATTGCCAGTGCATCTCTTTCATTTGTATTTGTTTGTCGCCGAGACGGCTGGTTTAAACACAATCATGGTATGCCCTGTTTTACACTAGTGGAGCTTATTTGTGCTTCAACATTTACATTGCAACATAATAATAACACATGTCACCTTCATTACAGACTATTTATTTTGAATGACTTTTCGGGGGTTTTTACACATGCAACTTGATGCTATGCTACAATTTGCTTGCTCTGGTCATACACCATACAGACTCGTGTCATTAATTATGAGGATGAGTGGCTTTCTCCAGCATGCCAGCAATGCCTGCTCCTGCGACTGGGACATTCTGGACATGAAGGCCAGGCGTATCATGGCTCTCCAGCTGGCTCTGGATCTTCAGGCCCACTGATTGACCCCAGTCCAGCTGAACAGACCGCAGCCCTGGATGTCACCCTCAACCCGGTCCACTGGCTTCTGCAAGGACCCAGACAGATTCTCTGATGGGTCATCAAACCAAACTGCCTGTATGGTTGGCTAGCACTAAGGTCATGAATGACAAATATCACAGTCCCCCTGCTGCTCCTCTCCTCAATCCCACTCAGAGTGCTTGAGAGTGTGTAATGTTCACTGCTGTTTGGTCCTGCCTTGAATTCATAGTTAGCCTGCTGTGTAGTTAATACTGACACTGAGTGGTTTAGAATCAGTGTATTGGCATTGTTTGTTTTATGTGCTTTGCAGGAGTAATTAAGCAATGGTTGCTGAGTAAATGAATGCAGCAACAGCACTGTCAATAAATCTGTTTCAAGATAACTTAATTTGGCTAAGCACTGTGTTACAGAATACTGTGACACATATTATATCACTCGGTTTGCAACATTCTGATGATGAATTATTGAACATAAATCCATTATCTTGAACATATTTTATTTATGAATGCACCAAGACACTGGAGGACTTTAACACTGCAGGGTAATTATTGTTCCACATTGTGTCACCACTCTACTCTCAGATGCAACAGCCTGAGCAACTGCAATGAATCAAAGATGGCAAGTTTTGATTGACATTTTGTGTGTGCACAAGGCCCAAAGCGACATTAGCCGAATTGCTTTATTTAATGCTTTCTCCCACATTCTGTTTCTCTTTTAGCACGCCTTGTAAACACTGATGCAATAAAGCATTCCATTATACAGAGGAGAGGAGATGAGTGTCTCTCGTGGCTCCTCTCCATCTCAATAATAGGTCAACAGCTGTATTTAAAAAATTAATCACATTCTTGGCAGTTGCAAAGGTTAGCCGCGACACTCTGAGATGCAATATTGGAAGCTCAGATCAGCAGCAAATCTCGGCGGAGATGAGGAAGAGTTGCCTTTGATGAGTACAGCATGTAAATGATTTGTGTGTGTTTATAGGACACGGGGCTGGCCCTGCCTCACTCCAAGACAGCGGTGTCGGCACCACTCTGTGGCAGACGCTGGCAACAGCAGATGGAAATAAGCAAGCGAGGGGAGGGTTGACCCCGCTTCAGCATTTCAGTTTGTACTCGCTTTCAGCAGAATGTTTGTTTCTTTTTCCAAGCTTGTCTCTGTTTTTGAGTCTTTTAATTCTGTTAGTCTTAATCTAATGCCTTGTTTCTTTAATGTTGACAAGTCCACTTACATTTAACCATCTGAATGATGTTTAAGAAGGTCTCTGTAACATTATCAGAGATCTTTCAGCATTACAATGTGGCAGCTTCATTAAAAAAACTCCTAGGATTCTCAAGGTTTAATGTGAGTTATGACTTTTAGTAGTCACAACTTAGGAAATCTAAACAGCTAGTTTGTTAATGCTATGTTTCCTGATGGAGACATTATTGGCCAGTTAGTGAGAACTTTTAAGAAATTGAAATATTGATGCCTTTCTCGCATCAAAAACAAATGACTCTCAAAGATATCTTGATGTACAAGGACATGCAGATCAAATATGAATGTCTACCTTGGATTGCTTTTAGTAATTCTGAAATATTCACAGTGGCAAGTTTTGAGTGCCGTGGCTCTTGCTAGTTGTGCACAGACTGACACTTGGGGATTAATTTTTCAACAGTGATCTGATTTGGCCGTCACAGTAAACGGATAGCCTTGATACATCAGGAACATTGCTACCTGGATTGTTGGATGGAAATGGAATACTGCATGATGCAAGTGAAGGAAAGCAGTGTTGAAATGCTTCCGTCTGTCTGCTGCTCTCGACAGTTCAGAGAGCTGTGCCGCTGATGAGCTATTATGTTGTTTGCACATGTCGTTATTGAAGCTTCTGTATGTCCATTAGTGGATTTTAGCATATACATTAGTAAACCCTACAATAATTATTAGGTCTGTTCTTCCTTCGCTGTGACAATTTATCTGGAAAGAGTATGCTTTCTAATCTGAGGGTCCCACCTCAGCCAGAGTTCATCCATTAACACCAGTTTTTTTTATGCTAATGGTGATTTTTCTCCCTTGGAGTGTAATTAGGAATGAGAAAACAATCAGTAGATAAGTAATCGTCTATTAAAAGAGAATGAGAATAGTGCTTCCAAAACAACAGAGACCCTTCGGGAAATCAGATTCACTATCATTTCCTTTCACTTATTAAGAGAAGAAGACGACCAGGCCTGGCAACTCCTTCCTGTCTCTCCAGAACAGCTTCCTTTTGACATAATTTCATTGTCATGCAGTTTCCTTTCTTGCCAGCAAGAAGAGTTTCAATCCGATTTTTATCAGATTTGTATCTTTATCAGATTTGGGAAGATGGTGCACAGTCAGTCAGGTGAGGTCTTGAGCAGAGGTGGAAGAAGTACTCAGATCTTGTACTTAAGTTAAAGTAGCAATACTACAGTGAAAAAATACTCAGTTAAGTAAATGTTGTGCATTCACAATTGTACTTAGTGTAAAGTATTAGCATTCAAAATACTTTAAGTACCAAAAGTAAACATACTTGTTGTGCAAAATAGCCATTTTAAGCACCATATATTTTAAACGAATGTTTAAAAAATATTGTTGCATTTATGTGTTCATCACTTCAATGTTGCACTTGGTAGGGAGACCAGGGACAGTTGTAACGCATTCAATATTTCCAATCACAAACAAGATAGAGTGATGAAACTCACTCTGCAAATGCACAGTTAGATCGAAAGATCGCTGTGAAAAAAAGGAGCCACATTGAAATCTCTCGCGAAAGATATCAGCAAAAGTGTGTTTCTGAGGTAAACAATT